CTCGAGGTCCGTCCGTCTCCACGATTTTGAGTCATCCTCACGGCTCTCTTCATTATCATGTGCAAACAAGGTCTAGACGAAGTAATAAAACTAAGGGGCCCCGTCCCCCGGTAATCTGGGCAAACACCGCCTGATAAGCCTCTTCCAGGAAAGAGCAAGGCGGAAAAGGTCGGCCATGGCGAGAGTCGCCGTTTGCTTAATGTCGACTAAGGGCGATTTTTAGCGCGATCAACCGCTAATTTGTCTGAAAATTTCAAATAATTTTTTTTTTTCGTACTGCCGAACATTTCAACCGCGCTCCGAAAGGAAAAAAAAAATCAGACTGCGAAGTCTGTCGGTTGACGACACTTTAACGACCGGAAGCGACAAAAAAAGCTCCGGAAGTCCTAGCGCGACGACCCCGATACGTCAAACAGATTTCTTTGAAAAAAGATATGTTAGGGATAAAAATAAAATATTTGGCACCGATACACTAAAGAAAAACTCGGTTGAAAGGGCTCCTTTATCGTCGCCAAGGCCGACAGGAAATGCTGAGTGATGAGGAAACGAGGCAAAAAATAAATACTACAAATTTAAATTCTAAATCTAAAATTCAAATCTATATATCTAAATTTAAAATATAGCACAGTAGAGAAATTCAATTGGCTTCTCGCGGTTAGAAACTTTAATCGGAACGGGGATGCGGATGTAGAGCGGTAAAGATATAATATATAGATATGTCTGTCGAGGAGTACTGCATGACCCTGAACGAAGAGGCAAGAGTTGTTGTTGAAACCCAAATAGCTTGACCTTGACTGGGACTCCTTAGTTTTATTACTTCGTCTAGACCTTGTTTGCACATGATAATGAAGAGAGCCGTGAGGATGACTCAAAATCGTGGAGACGGACGGTCCTCGAGGACAGACGGTATCATTTAAAATATTTATTTATTTAGGGACGATGATCGTATCGTGGTGCAGACAGGCACCACTTGGACATCTGGTACAAGGGCATTTGGGTACTGGAGGCGCGCCTGGTTCGACACAGGCGGCATACCAGGTGGATGGTCAAGTACTGGAGGCGCGCCTCGTGGACGGATATATACGGGTGATGGAATTACTTATATGCAATTTATTTGCACAGCGCCTTTGTAACCACGGTGTAAAAGGGGGCTGTTTTTCCCCGTTACTTTCTTAATTGGAATCACCGGAAGAAAATGTTGGAGAAAGCAAAACCGGCAGATGGCTTTCACACATTTGGATACATGCTCAAAATTGTTAAACCAGTTGCGCTCTTTAAACTGGGCTGCTGAGACAAAATTATACTTTTTTCCGCAGGATATACTGTTTTAAAAAATGTCCCATATCTAAGGAAAATGATGCAAAACATTTTGGCTTAAACACAGCTCTAGAAACAAACGCAGTCAAAATGTACCTAAGGAAAATTTCAGTGGCAAAAGCAACTGAATGGCCGCCTGCTACGCCAATGCCCTCGCGACATAATCCCCCCCCACCCCCACACAAAAGGAGGAAAGACCCCAACTCGCTCATGGTCACGTTTCAACCGGAAAAAAAAGTCTCGTGGCCATGATGCTTCCTGAATCTCTCCGCTGGGCCTGTAACAAGGCAGATGATACAATAGAACTCTTTCCAGTGACCTGCAGCCCCTGGACAGGAATTAAGCAAGTCAGATTTAGTGCTCGTGATAAAGATGTCAGTCTTCTTCTGTCATCGAAGATGGATGAGGCAGATGACGTCTGGGTCTGCATTCCATTGCGGGGAGAAAAAAGGATTCTGGAAGCACTCCAGAACACGAATGGAAATCGCCCCGTGCTTTGAAATATGCAATACTCCGCCGGAGTCAGTAGACAGGAGTCCACATGTCAGGGGTCCGAATGTCGTCAGCATTGCCCCATGTCATGGGGGAAAGGCAGACGACACAAGCCCTGTTGTCGCAGTAGTATTTCAGAATGGAATTTCACGTGACATCCACAGGGCATGTGCGTGACTCTCATTCTGATGAAGCACTGAGACATAAACAGTTGAAACTTGGGACTTACGATGGTCTTCAGCCAATTACATTTGCAATAAATTTTCCAAAAAGAGGTTGGGTCAGAGATAAAAGTCAAATAGAAATGAAATTCTGAAAAGATTGGAGTAAATGGGAATAAAATTTTAACTATAATTGATATCTCAGTTTCAGCTGCTCGGGCAGACCAGCTGTTACCTGCTAGGGTGAGTGCTGCGAATGTCGGCACTTTGCAATCGTCAAACTTCTGATTTCACTACCAGTCCCCTAAGCATGGGTAGACACGTATTATCAGATGGTGGTACTATTGTTGTTAACGCGTGCTAGGAACAGCAATATTTGCTGTTGTTGTTTTCTCGCAGTAGCTGCCTTCTCTTATCGCACTCCGAAAATCCGACGAAATCTTGTGATTTTGCTAAGCGTTTGCACATTATTGTCTTCTCGTCCACACTAGGTATTATTTTATTAGGTCGTTGCTGATGGCAGGACGCATTTTTTGACAAAAAAAATGCGCTTGGTCCCACGCGGCGGACAAGCAAAAATAGGCTGGTCGTCAATGTGTTAAACAAGTCTGTTTCAACCAAGGGATTTTTATTATTATTATTGATTTGTGTTTCAGGCCCATTACTACAAAATTAATTCCCCAGCAGGGACCTGTACCTCTGAAAAAATTCGCCTGCAAATGGGTTATCCTCTTCACATGTTCCTTCTACATATTACATTTTGATGAATTCTGATATGAGCAGAGACCATTGCCATGCTTAAAGTGGAGTAACTAATAAATCTTCAATTAAACATACAAATTTGATAGAAAATGAATACCTCATTCCCACAATAATGAAAGCTCTTCCAAAAAAAACAGATGGTGCAAAGTTCAGTTATGTTTCTTGCATGGTAAAAAAAAAAAAAAAAACAAGTTACAGATGGTGCAAAGTTCAGTTATGTTTCTTGCATGGTAAAAAAAAAAAAAAACAAGTTCAAATCCCATGAAAATTGCTTGAAAGCAACAGGGATGATGTTGGAATCATAACACCTCAAAATGGTCTTGGGGAAAGGTTCATAGGTGAATGAACTCATTTCAATACAAATTTATCACAGGTATCACAATTCCCAGGAGGAACCATGGGGTTGAACTTTCCAAAATTATGACATTTGAAACGTATTTGAAATTACAGTAGATGTTGCTTATTGTGATCACATTGGGGAAGGAAATTTGATAACATTAAGTGGCTGATAACAACAAGCAGCATCTACTATAAAACAAAAACAAACATCAACATTAATTAAATCAGAAAACCATAACTCAATTTCCCTCTTTCTGCCTTGATTCCAGTTACAAACCAACTTTCAAGGGCAAAATGTAAGGAAGTTAGCTTCTGTGGACTGGAGGCCATTTTTTCTCCTGCAGTCAAGACCTCCATATTGACTCCTGTTATAAGCAGATGTGTAAGATGTAGATAGTTTGCTATTCTCAATATAATTCTCCTGCTTACCAAATTTCATTGAACTCTGAGCTAACCAGGTGCAAAATCTTTCTGACTTTGGCACACTTGTGGTGTAATCTCTTTGGAATCATCTCAAACAGTATGAACACTATTGATGGTAGTGGATACTTTTTTTCACATAATCAAAACATGTGACCAGTCCAAGGCATCACAGCAGTGCACTTTTCCCCTTATACTTAAGAGACACAAACCATCAATGTGAATCAGAAACCAATCACATCCACAAATGAAATTATCAAGCAAAAATCACTCAACACCGTGTTCTGGTGCCGACTTTGCCACATCTCCCTTTGCCGTTGCCATAGAGACTCGGGAGGACCTTTCTGCAGCTTCCTGAGATGCATATTGCTTTGTCCACCTCCGAGCTTTTTCTTCAAATGCCATTCTGCTGAATTTGAACTCCTCTGCCTACAGATGTGGACAAAGGAAAGCACATTTCCCCGAAGCATGAAACAACACAACTTGAATGGCAATTCTTGAGAATAGCCACAAGAAACAAGACCCAAGGGAAGAACAGACTTCAAGACTTCTGCAAGTCATTTTGAGTTTACATCCTGTTCATAACCTTCTACAGGGTAAGAAAAAAAAAAAAGACAGACCTTATAACCAATAAATCTCTGCCCCCCATGAAGCAGCCTTAGCTCTACATTGGCTAGGTTCTAAACAGACTTGCAAGAGCCTGTGCTGCCAATAAGAACCGCATTTGAGCAGTTGTTCACCTATACCAGAGGGCTGACCTTTTCTTGCAGATAGTTTTGATGAGCTAGACACTAATTAACATCTGATGAACCTGTATCAAAACAGGAAGTATGCCAAAACGAATTTACTCTATCCATTTTCATTCCTTTTGTGTAATTGTTCCCTCCTTCCTTCCTTTTACGGGAAAAATTAAGACAAAGAAGTTTTGCAAAATTACCTTTAGTGGTAGCAAAAACATATATATGCTTGCAAGTACAGATTACAAAGTGGAAACCCAAATTTACATAGTACTTAGTTTGGGGTCAATCCAGTGGCAGATCCAGAGGGGGCAATTGCCCCCTGCAGTCAGGTTTGCATTTTATTTTTTTAATTTAAAAAGAAAATCAATTAATTTTTATTTGGGCCTGTGAGATCAATTCAAGATTTTACCCCAGATGAAAAATGAAAAAGGCAAAAGGACAGAGGGTGGTGGTAGGTTGGGGGGGGGGGGGGGGGGGGGGGGGGGGGGGGTAACCATCCTCCCTACAGCCCGGATCTGGCTCCTAGTGACTATTTTCTTTCCTCTGAAAATCTTCCAGCAGAGACTAAGAGGGTGGGGAAAGGGGGCGGGGGGAGGGAACTGCTGCTTATGAAAAGTTTCTGTATCTGCCACTGGATCAATCTAAAGCATTTTCAAATTAGATTCTTAATATTTAATTATTGGATGCAAAGCAATCACATGCAATTTGGCTGAAACCACACACATAAGCTAATACCCGAAATGTAATCCCACATCTGTCCCACCTCTGGAAAGCATCTAGATCAATTCATGATCACAAGAAAGCAGTGCTCCAATTGAAAAACCACTGTGAATGTTAGGTATCTTTTCAAACCTGTCACTGATGATGGAAGAAACAGCAACAATGGGCTAAGGTCCTCACCCATTCTAGTCCCAGGGTCATCTCCCCAACCAAATTTCAGTTTTCGACATGCCTCACCTAGGTTCGTTCCTCATTCTCAACCCATCTTTCCTCAATTAGTTTTATAGAGCTGTGGCGGTGAGATAAGTCTAGCTGAACAGATTCAATATCAAGAATGGACATGCTTTAGTGGATTAGTTCAGCATCTTCAGGCTCTTATGACTGTGAGCAGTAAAAGCAACGTAGTAAATACATGCATTGGAGGTTAGGTTCATCACAAGATTATCTCCAAACTGCCAAAAAAAAAGGACATTAATTTGAAAACTTTCAGGTTTCCTCAAGGGCAAACTGGTGAAAACTAGAGATGAACATTTCCATGGTAAATGGAAAAGATAATGTCTGCTATTCCTTGAGCAAATTTTACTAATCCTTTGAATAATGGTGCACAAATCAATTAAGAGTTCTCAGAAATATCAGAGAGAAAAATCACAATAGAGAAAAAAAGGCAAAATTGCAAAGAGTGATTAAAAAATTGCAACAGAATATACTCTAATTTTATAGGTTTCAATACAAATGGCTTGGCAAGCACATGACAGACCATATGAATAGGCTGTGACAGTATTATTACATTTCCTTGATTCCTTACTGGCTTGACTTAGGCTGATAAATTGATGATTGGGGAGGATAAAATGTATAGTATATATGTGCATCATGCATGAAGCATGACTGTATTGAAATAAAGCTCTTCAATCGTGCAAGACTCACTATTTCCGTGACGAGGGGATCATCAGGATTTGGTTCATTCAACAACAGGAGGATGGATGTGAGAACACTGCCGATATTGTGTGACGGCTTCCAGGAACCTTTTGGCGGCATTTTCAATACATCCAAGCAGATACGACCAGTGGAATCAATATTAGGATGATAGATAGGTGTGACAAATTGAACCTCTGGTGGCTGGAAGGGGTACCTATCAAAAAATCATACAAAATAGGGATATTATCAAGGTCAGCAACCTTGGAATGACCACATCAAGTTGGAAGGACCACACCTGTTTTCTTTAGCAGGGATTCCCTTGAATTAAAAATAAAGGCTGCATAGTACATAACAGAACAGTTTATGTCAATGGTGAGGAAGTACTATGGAAGTGGACAGACAAACAACCTCATTGAGCTCAGTAAGAACATTCTCAGTTTCTTCAGAGTCTTTGTTTTGGCAGGTTTATGGAATTAGCAATCACTCAGACTAAACTTCTCAACAGCAGAGTGACAAACAACAGAAATCAGTCACATTCAGACATTGTTCCCAACCACTAAAACAATTAAAAAAGATCTTCAGAGATCTAAAAGGTGCAGCTACAGATGAGACTCTCGGCTAAATTCTCAAAAAGCTTTGATAGCAACCTATTGCCCAGTCACAAATGCTCTCCAGTTTCAACATTTAATTCAAAACATGACCTCTCATGTCAAGTGAAATTTTGGAAACCTTGTACATAGCAGTTACATTATCATCACAGAGACATTTGAGAATATTACAAGCCTTCTCCAGGAGAGTATATCTAAAATTGGAGACATAGATGAAGAACTTGAAGAAAGAATATTTTACTGCCATCAACAAGATCTACAAAACATAACATGCACTATCAAACCCACCTTTCTGGAATCTTGATTTGTAACTTGAAAATGCCTCCTTCATATGGAGTGCCACTGCATCCAACAATATCTGAAAAAGAAGATTCAGAAGCTACATGCTGAAGCATGAGAAAGATCATAGTCACACACTTACTTCAGATATTCCCATCCACACAAGGTGAAGCATATTGCCAGCCAACATGACATGACAATTTTTGGAATCTAAGAAATGGCTTGCCTCAACAGTAAATACAGGATGGCCCAAAAATATGCACCCACTCTTCCAGTCATTGCAATTTTGTCATTGTCTTTTAAATGTTTAAATGCTGGTGGATGCCAGTGGAAGGTGAGTATTTTTGATAAAATGGCTGTCATGCCATAGGCTACTTCCTCTACATCATGAAAAGTGATCATTTGTATGTGGAATATCAATCACACCTCCTCTGAATCATTTGACTTTGAGCAAGCTATATTGCAAAATTGATCAATTCTAAAACATGGAAAAGATTAGCTAAATAAACTCAGAATATGAAATAAAAATAGACTTCTGGGTTTGACTACTTCACCTTTGGCCAAGTGAGATGTAAATTGGAACACAGTAGACACTCAAAATCTAGGGACTCTCCTATTCTTCTTTATTCTGCTCTATCTTTCCTTCAGTCAGTCTCTTCTCCAATCAAAATGGGAGACTTCCTAAGTCTATAGATGCATGAAAGTCTCTTACACATACCTACACACATATCAATATCAATAAATATAAACATATTATAAAAATATAGAAATATAATGTCAGTCTTCCAATAAAAGATGTGAGTAAATTAACCTGGAATAGGTTTTCACAAACCTGCTTGGAGCTTGTCCATATGAACATCATCAGTACATGAGCATGTAATCCCTGAAGGAGGATCTTGGTGCAGCAAGGCTAACTCCCGTTTCATTCGAAGATTTCTCTGCATCTTCAAAAGGCTAGAAGAAACCATATCAAAGGCTCAAGGCATGCCATTTTCATTAGTTGCTTTTCTTAAGCTTTTGAGTCTTTGTACATGATGCAATATCAAGAGTCCTGATTCAGTTCCTAACCACACTGAGTTAGCAGTAAGGGTCTCATAAGGTTAGCTAGGTAAAAATATCCAATTGAACCAATGTCAGGTAGGATCCCCAAGTGCTTTCAGATGAACTTTGAGGTTTCACTATTCTGTGCTCTGTGGCAGTTCCCTAGACCCAACTGTCATTTGATTTATGACAACTAAGAAAATATCCTTTGAACAGCTTATAGTTGCATTTAGCCATTGTGTCCAGCAGATGCTTATCAGAAAGTTAAGCCACTCAATTTTCAGATTAATTTTTCTTGTCATGAATACATCAATCAGCAAGTATTCATAAAAAAGCCACACTTATGATGAGTTGCATTTAAGAAACTATGCAAGGAAATAAGCCTATGCTCCACTGGCATACAGAAACAAGGAATATTGGTAAGTATTATAAAGGAGTAATGAATAAATTGGTGATAGCTGAACAAAGGATCCTTTTGAGTTCAAAATGTAAACATGTCATTCACAAAGTTCTCACTGTCTTTCTCTGTATCAAATATTGATATCACTTAATAACAAGCTGTGTTTCGATTAGGAATTCATCATTGAGCAATCTGCCCAAAAATAACTAAAATTTCCAGCACTGCCCATTAAAATATAATTATAGTATGCCATTCATATTTTTATCACTCCTCACATGGAGTCTTGCCTCTTACATGGAAGCACCATGTCACACAGGAATTAATTCCTTATATGGGTAACTATTAGTTTAAGCTTAACACTTTTCCATTGAAGTGGAGCCTATCTTTATAGACATCCTGATTGATGCCCTCATAGAATTTTTCAGTTTGCCTACCACTTTGACAGCTATTAAGAGAGAACTTTTTAAATTTTCCATCACCTTCATATTATTGCTCCTTCTGTATACTGAATTACTAGGCCTTCTGGAAAAGGGAGCAAATTATTTGCCCAATGATGCAACCGCTTCATAGACCTGCGGATTAACCATACATACTTTGGTTTTTTCTATCGAGCACAAATCTGAACAGCAAATGGAACTTAGAGTACACGTCAGACATTATCCCTTGTATAACGTTAGCATTCAACAGTTATAATTGCCCTTTGTAGTCAGGCTACATTCTTCTTCCTCCCCTCCATTCAAATCCTAGTTTGGTTGAACTTGCAGTGCTGAACAATTAATAACGACGATTGCTACAAATATTAACATGTCCCAATGCGGCTCATTATCCATTCGCCTTTTGATTGCAGGATTGGAAATTGGTAACTGCCAATTAACTCTTCCCATTTGGAAGGGAACAGCTCTTTCAGGATGCGGAGGATGACTCTTGCTCGCATAGGCCAACAGTTACTTCCGTGAAGTAGGATTGGCCCAGGCTAGGCCTAAGCCGATCATAGGTCAATAAAAACTGGAACTTAATTGTTGAGACATAGGACATGGTCACCGTTTTGGTCTAGGTTTGGCTCGTACGTGAATAAAGATCCCGATTCGAAAACGAGCTCTCCTATCCTCTTCAGTCGGATGCTTTCCGCGGAGAGGACACGCTGAAGACTGAAGGAATGACGAAATTCGCTGTAAATCCGGGAGAAGCGCGCCACTGAGCATCCATTCGGCGATGACGTCAGAGGCCTTTGATTGGCCGAACGGGAGGAAGTGGGGGCTCTGATTGGCCGAACGAGAGAGGCGGGGACCTGTCGATTTCTGCCCGCATGCGATTCCCAGCTCCACTGCACTATTTTTGCACCGAATGACGAATTTTTGCACCGAATTTCTCTCGCGTTCCTCTGGTCTCTCCGCTTCCCATGCAAACAACTCTGCATTAATGCGGCTGGTGAGGGACAAAACTCAAAATTGCCCCCTAACGACTTCTCATAAGTTCTGCGGTTGACAAAATTGGTAAAATCCTGGGAAGAAGAAGAAAAAAAAAACTCGGACATCACGACGAAGAAATTTAGCGTCTTCGCCGAACTTCAATCAGCACGTCGAAATCGACTTGACCAGTCGGCACAGACCCGAAAAGTTTTACTTCTCCTCTCGCCACACTTTACTTCGTCTTTTCCAGATGACAGCAACGTTTCCCACTCGGCACGTATGATCTCAAATCACGTGCCAAAGATTGGCAGGATAAAAAAAATTGCTGCAAAAAATTGGCAGGATAAAAACATATGCTGTCATAAACGCATCGGGTTAAAAATATTATAGAATTTCCTTATTGGACTAATCGAGAATGCAATGTCCCACGGTTCTCAAAACGGGCGAGATTGGAAGCATTGGCGACATCTATTGTTCTACAAGAGCACTAATAAGTGAAGATGCAGCGCGTAGATGTCACCCGATTCCGGAGCATCTCCTGATTTGAATAGAGACTGTGTTTCACTCTGCATGCAAAATTTGTGCAACGCTCAAAAGAAAATTACGCCATTGGTGCAACGCGAATTTTCTCACAAATTTTTTCTTTGCTATTTTTTTTTGCATTTAAGCTCATTCCTGATGCATTTGCACAACGCTAATCGAATGCCTGGCCAACTTTGAGGCAATAATGAAAATCTGAACATTTTTGAGGGCTTTGTCCGGTCAACTAAATGTATCAAGATACGTCGGGCGCGACATTTAAAGAAACAATATTTCCTGACCCGAAAGTGAGATGACGACGAATCGTCCACACGGGGAGTTACTTCGTATATGCACCCGGCACGCGTCCCCGGTACTTCGGAACGGTACTTGCCATTTTCTCCACAGACGATATCGGGAAAGGTAATTGAATCCCGGCTGCATTTGATGAAAGCGGCAACCCAACCCAAGGAGACCCAGGGGAATTAAGGCCCGGAGAGAAGAAAGTTCACCTGCTTTGATTTGACTCGACGGAGACATCTACTGCAGAGACATCTAGCGGTGTTTACCCAGTAGCACCCGATTCAACGCTCGATTCAACACTCGACTCATTCCGGGATTCGACCGGAGTCAAGTCCATTCACTTGGAGAAGAGCAAGTTTCTTATCTCTCAAAGACCGATTGTTGTGATTAATGAGTGGCTGAGGGGATAGTGGGCATGCAATGAGCACCTTCTTCGCCGGTGTCGTATGATATTTTCCCCCCCGTAATATTTTTCCCCACCTCCCTTAATGGAAATGAAGGGAGTTCGTTTTAAAATGTAGAATTGTAAGTAAGTATTATTGTAAGGCCCTGTTGGGTGACAGTATGGAGATGCCAAATATTCTCTCTTGTCTCTACGCTGACCTGTGCTCCAGAAAGAGAGACGTGAAATGTATAGGCCGTGGACTATTTGCATTCTACTTTCTCTTTCTTCAACATTTTTCAAGTTACCTTGTCAGGTTCGGGTACATCGGCGCAACATTCACCGAAAAAAAATTGAAGCATTCTCTTCATTTCTGGCAACTCTGATTCTTCTCATAGTTCGGGCATCCTCGACCGGCGGTTTACCGTTCCCATTCGAGCATGAAACGAAAAATTGTCGGAAATCTCCTCGTCGATTTACGACTTATTGGTTCCCCGAGGAATCGCCGCTGTCAACCTGGTTGGCCGACTAGCTCTTCTCAAGGTGAACGAACTTTATCGTCTCTAGTTACACTCTCTATTCTATAGTCTTAGGCCTACACTAGATAAAGATCTTAAATCTGATCCTGCGGGTCGCGTGGAAGGATCCGCGAGCCATCCGCCCTGCCGTCTCCTTCCTCCCGCGGGACCCTCCCGATCTGATCGCGGAGTCCGCGTCGAGGCGGGAGACGGGGCACTCGCTCGATTCGACACGTTTTATGCGATTCGTTCGGATCGCGCGGGCGATCCGCGGCGCGCCGAGGCGAATGCGCTTTCACTCTATGTTGAGGCGTAGGCCTGCCGAGTTTCTGCATTGCGGATGTCGATGCCGTCACGACGTGCCGTCCACATTCGTGTCCCTCGAGCAAACGAGCGGGCTTTAGCGAGGCCAGACGCAACGTGACGTCACAGATCACGTGACCCACCCTCCATCCTCCTCCACCCGGCTCGTCTTCGTCCAATCACTCTGCGGCCTCGTTTCAAAACTGCAATCCAGTCGCAATTCAGTTCCAGTTTTAGTTGAATTCTGGCTGGGGGGGGGGGGATCCTCCTGGCACAATACTTCTAGCCATTTGCGTCTCCTTTATGGCCAAGGGCGAAAATCTGGACGTGGTCGCGAAAATTTGCGACGCGCGAAGCGCTCAGGCGGGAGACTTCTGCGAATGCTGACGCGGACTCGAGCAAAAAAAAAAAAAAGCGCAAATAATTCGCCTTTCCCGCTTGGATCTCCGAACCGCAACGATCGAAGCTAGCAATACCAAATAGCGAATCGGATGCACTATCCTGCAAAATATATATATATATTTTTGGGCAAGATTCCTTGCCAAAATAGTTCAAATCAACAGGTAAAAACCATTCATAAATTGGTCTACAGTCTATCTCACGCTGCAGGAATTTGCGCTGCAGAGTGGCAATGTGAAATAAACAAGTGAAAAATAAACACATGATAAAAAAAATAAGTGCAAGACACATGAATAATGCATGAATAATGGATAAAGTAACTGAATTATAAATGAATAATACATTCGTGCAGGCTAGTCCATGAAAAAGTGAAAAAAGTAATTTAAAAAATGCAGGAGGCGCAGAAACGAAAAGAGCAAAGTCACCGTTCAAAGGTCCAAGGTTCATGGTTCAAGGTCCAGGGTTCAAGTTTTAAAAATGTTAGCCTAAAGTTTTTTTTTTAGTTTTTATATTAAAGGTGGCCTCAAAGTTACAAAAAAATCTGAGTTAAACCTAAAGTAACCAGATTAATCTTGATGGGAGTGAGGCGCAGGCCCCCCGACGCTCCTCCGCGGTCCCCGTCCCGCGCGGCACTCCCTCGAGTTCTGGCACCGTGTGGTTCCTCCCAAGGGCTATATATTATTTGGGGTGGAGGACGTTTGATGGGTAGAGAGCATTCGAGGTGAAGACCTCCACGTGGGGGGGGGAGTTAGGCTTGGTTCGACGTCGAGGTGGCAGTTTAGGCGTGTATGGGACCACGTGTTTGGTGGGGATGCGGTTGCTACTGTTTGTTTTAATTAATTTATTTTTTAATGCTAACGTAGGCCTGTCTGACCGACTCGTGTCCCTGCCGAGGGATATCCCACGGCACTGCCGTCAGATGTCCTGGGCAGCAGTCGGCGACAGCACGGAGCTGGGTCACCTCTCGGCAGTGGTTTCCTAAAGGATTTTAAGCCCTCCTCCGAGCTTCCGATAGTGATTATATAATAATTACGAAATACCCTGACTTACATTATTATATAATAGTATGAAATACACACACACACATATATATATATAGTTTTTTTTTCCCCCATTGATAGACCGAATAAAATTCATTGGACACACAAGCAATCCAACTTGCTGAGTCGACTGTATTTGAAAGGCACTTCATCAGAGTTCCGAAAAACGCCCAAGAAAAAGTTATTTTACTTGTAAAGTATGCAAAGATGCCCACTAAGTAATATTTTCGTCAGATGTTCACATTTAACATGAAACCTTCGATGACCTCTCTTTCGCCCACCCTTCCTGTTTATTTGAAATGGAATGAATAACGAACGGAAATTGCACATTTGTATATTATAAAATCGCGGATGCTGCCAGTTGAGGCATCTTGCTCTCCTCCCCTTACTCCGCAGGGGGCACGAGGATATTGTCAAGCTAAGTGTTGTCAGTGGAGTATCTAAAGGATTTAAGGATTATCTATTGTAAGGAACTCCACCCCTAAGCCTTCTCCGGGATCATATCTCCGAGATAATCGCAGGGACTTGTCAACCTGTCACTGCTTTCACTTTTGAACAACCCATATGCCATTGAAAAGGAATCAGGAGCACGGAAGAATTGGTAATATATCCCAATGAAATGATTCTGACCCGAAACGATCCATGATCGAAATTTCCCGGAACATTCCTGGAACCTATCCTTTCAACGATATGATTTATGTTCATAATTCATTATTCTGATGCAGCATATAGTTAATTTGTCGCATTACTTATGCTGCGCATGATGCTTTTGTACAGTAAAACGAGGTAGTACGCAGCTAGATATATCAGTATATATTGCTCGTGGGCATTTAAAAGTAATTTGTCTTATTATCGGCGTTTTCTCTGAGAGCTTTAGTTCTGCTAACTTTTTAATATATTTTTTTCTTGGCCGGAAACAGGACAGCATTCTTCCCTGTGTATACATGGAAAAATTTGTTTTTGTGTCAGGGATCACGTACCAATGACAAATGACTCCTTCGAAGTAGAAGGCTCTATACATAATGCATTCCATACTTCATGGCATTTTCGCGCAGATCTACCTATTCATTGATTGAATCATTCATTTTTATTACCGCTCATACCAAATTAAAGGGGTTCTTGGTTGAAGCAGGCGGAGAAGCATCCTCGGATATTCCTTATCCTGGTCAATGGACCAAGGGACCAAGCTCAAGTGGAATACCAAGCCTCAAGTGGCAGCTTCACAAATCTACAGTATCTGAGGACCCTCGTTCCATCATTTCAATATTTTATTGCCTTCCCTGAGATTCCATCCGATGTAGCCTAATGTCCTTAATTAATGCCCGTAAATTCTACCCTCTTGGATTCTGCAGTTGAACCTGATCGCTTCCCTCTGATTCAATTCTTACATGTGGCGATTGAGCCTGATTTTTCCCCCTTGACCCTTCTTTTTTTCGTGACAGTTGATTATCGGTAGGGATTCCGCTTACCTTCTTGACTTGTGCATAAAGATAATAAATTGAATACTTGAATAAATTGAATAAAGAATGAGTCCTGTATGATACAAAACGCAAATATTCAAATCAGGATGTGTGGCCATTTTGCCTCATCGTTCGGAATTTCGAAGAAATTGATCAATTTTTTGTTGTTCAGCAGAGTGAGGGGAGTTTTGCATGACGTGACTCATTGAGATGACCTCATTGAAAACAAGAAGCTGGTTTCGAATAGGGTTCTTTTGACGACATGGGTAGAAAATTTTGAAAAATAAGGTCAATATAGGATCTGGTTTTGGTTTTCGTGTTTTGATGACAATAATTGGCTGATAACATTAACCAGGGATAACAATAAGCGGCACTCACTGTAATGATCATGAAGACTTCTTAAGGAACCACCTAGCTGTAAATGTGGGGTACACGCAGGAAGAACCTAAGAGGCCTCGCGCATTTTCAGGAAACTCGCCTACTAAAATATACTGGCCGAGTCTTCCCCTCTAGTGAAATTCATGAAATCACAGCGCAATCAATTACCTTATAACTCTTATAACAACATAGTCATGAAGAATAACTTTTTCAACAAGAAAAAGAAACATGAGGAATTGAAGAGTGCATAACATAAATTTTCACCAAAATAGCCAGCGGGGGTCAGCCAACTAATCCGCGTGCAAGGATCTTCCGATTAGCTAGTGGGTGGTAATCTGCAAAAGGGATTAGAAAGCATGGAGCTATTCATCTAGAGGATCGGCTGTATATATACGACTGCTCAACAAAGGCCATACTCGACTTTCGTTTCTCAACCTGTGCATTCACCATGGATGACCACCGAGGGCATTTTGAGGAGCATGTACGTGGCAAGTATGAAGCAAGTCAGAAGGCTGTCCTCAAGACCTCCTCGGAAATCGCAACGCTCGTTGCTTTCATCAAAGGTGAGATTAGCCGACTGTGCAAAATGCATTATTGCCTTTCAATGCGAGACTGGGAAGTAGTGAGTTACAGAGTACTGGTCCTCAGTCATATTTTCCAAAGGTGGTTTAAGTTCCTTGAGTTTGCCCTATATCGTTCTCAGACAGAATAAGGCACTTTTAACGAACAGAATCTGTTAAAAGAAGCCTACATCATTACCGATAGGTCTCTCAACGTGCTAATCGAGGATACACTTGGGGAGGCAAATTGGGAGAATGGAATGGAATGGGATAATGGACTGGAATTCTCCAAGCACGCGCAGGCGACGTGTGACATCCAAGAGAGTTTCTTTCAGCATCCAACCCTTGCATGTCAGTAAAGGCACAACCGTTCTTCCTGTGTACGGGACCCACATATCATCACATCGTAAACTAGGCAGAATTCTCGCATGTCTGTCTTGTAATTCACAGAACTAATCTGACCATCCATTTAATCCAATGTCTCCAAGTCTTTATTCCCCAAGGAATTATCTTTTCCGAATCTCCGAACGTTCACCTCAATTAGCTGCGCGATAGCGAATGCATGAATTGGCAGTAGCAGCTGAGTGAAATGAAATGAAAATGAACTCTTCGATCCTCTCGTAGGGGAGTATCAACCTGCATCGAAGGAGGAGGCCAAGATGCTGAGGAGAAAAATTCAGCGAAATGGCTACGTCATTGCTGACGTGCCTTTACTGGCTAGAGCAGCAGTGCTATGTACGCATTCGGTGAGATGAAATATTTTCTTTTGCATAGGCTACCTACGAGTTCGTGTATTTATGCATCAACAACTAAATTAGTACTATATATTTTAAAGCAAGAGGGGAAATAGCTACACGATTCACGTTGCATGAGTATGTCCTGAGAAGGATAAAACTGACTGTCTCTCCATGAAGAATTGATTCTCTATGAAAATATCACAGCGACACAATAACTCTGAGAACTATAACTCTTTCTCTGACTTGGAGTTTCCTTCCAAGACATTTTCTGAGGCTCTTATTTTATTTTACAGAAGAAGGCAGACCCAACCGACCCCCTGGGACTGTTAAGGATCGTGGCGGCGCGAGAGGACGTGTACTCCATTATAGAATCTGCCCATAAAGCTCTCCATGGTGCAGGTTACAGGAAAACCAGAGACGAAATCAGGAAATTTTACGCAGAAGTTCCTGAACCCCTAGTGGAAGAATTCACTAGAACCTGCCCCCATTGCTGCAAATCTGCAAAACAACGAAACCAGCCTCCCCTTCAGCCTATTTTGGCTGACTGTGTTTTCAGCAGATGTCAGGTACGCTCTAGAACCTCTTCTTTCACTCCTTTGACCATGTCGCAACAAGATTATAAGGTTCCTGGCATTATAATAGACTAAAATACATAATCCGTTCCATTGCAGCTGGACCTTGTCAAAATGGACCAGCCTGATGAGGCATTCAAGTATTTTGCTCACTTCAGGGACCACTTTTCCAAATACAGCGTACTCTTCCCTCTTTGCTCCAAAGAGGCCAAGGAAGTTTCTGCTGAACTGGAGAAACGGGTCTTCGCATACTTCGGCGTCCCCTCTATTTTGCAAATGGACAATGGGACGGAATTCAGGAACGAGGTGAATTGTAACTCTATATTCGTGATTTTATAAGAACAGAAGAAAATTATCATGGCATTTAATCCAATTATCGACTAAAATTGGTTACCACGCTGGTTCTCTTTTAGGAAAGTATTTAAGCCTACTCTCCCAAATAAATCAAATTTTTAATAGCATTGCATATGCTTTTCTGTCAACTCAACTTATTTGTCAGCACCTTTAAATTCCATTATTTAAAAACGTTGGTCCTCAGAAAAGATTCTTTTTTTCGTATGCGATTCTCGTTGAACCTTTTTGAGAGAATGAAGCACGATTCACAAACGCTGGTCCGTGTCCCAAGAGCACAGTTATTGTGACAGGTATCATGTTCTTTGATATAGTGACTGTTATCCATCATTGAACGTATCTAATGACTCATTCTGGTAAGAGTACAGGATTATACTGCCTGGTAGGAAATTCCTAGGTTGTCCAAGAAATAGGAGAGGGAGGGCAGCTGGAAGGCGAACGAATGAGGAGGTCGTTATCTAAGAGCGACTGCTATCCTTCAAGCAGGCGGGCGGGTGACACTAGCTGAACATAACAGGGTTTTAAGCTTCCAGGATCATGCACTTCAAAGCTAGTAGGGCGTAAGGGTTCAGGCATTGTCCTTCCGCCTCCGCCGGAAAGCGTAACAAGAAGAAATCTCGGCCAGGCTGAATGATCGTGGACATCGAAGGCATGTGGCGTGATAGGGTTTTCTGATATAATGGTGACTACGAAACGGAAGCGGGAACGCGTTGTGGAAACCTTACGTGTGAGACCCAATTTTCAGGATGACCGTTCCACCTGCTTAATGTAGCATAATATGCATTAGTAGATAACGTAGAGACCGTCCATTCCATGAATAGCTTAAAGAAGTTATTGGATATATACAGACAAGGAAACCCAGTAGCAATGAATTTGCAAGTACCCATTCACAATGACACGCCTCCACAAAGACATCATCTTGTTTGCAAGATTGAGCCAATTATAAGTAAAGACTCCACCGTGATAATTGTCAACTCCCAAGTTGCCAATAGGGGCAGAAATGCCACTTGACATATGATACGAATCCTTCCACTTGGAATAAAACTGTTAAAACTATTAAAAAGGAATTAGCTAACTGGGTGGACATTGTTACATAATGTAGTTACAATTGATAATTGCTAGAACCAGTGAAGGACCAAAAAAAACTACTTTGCAGGCTAGGGTAACTGGGTAACAGCTTCAGAAGCAATCAATGACAAACAAAGGGTATACTTGCCTTGGGAATGTAATATTTTCATACTCATCTATTGGCAACTGGAATTTTCCAACTTCAATGCATAAAACAAATACAGAATGCAATTTGTCCAGGTAAAAAAGCAGGTACAAGTTAGTAACAGTATTTTTTTATTGCTATGTTATCACTCGAGCTATCGCTTTATTATTTTAGCTCAGAAATGAAATAAGTAATATCCAAAATATCATTATGAGACGTAGTACATCAGATAGTTGCAAATATGATTTTAATTCTGCAGACACATTGCTGCAAACAAATATTTTCACCTTAAATAACGAATGAATGCATATAAAAGTATTTCAGGGACTAATGAATATGACATTTTATCACCATTATAGGTGCTCAGAAACCTAGTTGCCTCTTGGGGGGCGTGTAAGATCATCCACTCACGCCCACGCCATCCTCAAAGCCAGGGATGTGTGGAGAATGGGAATGGTGTGGCTAGGCAAAAGCTTATGCACATCATGAAGGATACAGGAAATCCCCATTGGGCTCAACTCCTGCCCCGGGTGCAATGTAAGTAAATATAAATCGGCCTCCTCTTGGCACTAGCTTATTTGTTTGAGCAAGGTTTTCAATTATTGTCTACTTTCAGATGCCATGAACACTGAACGAGTCAGCAGCATCAAAGATGCACCCTACCATATTGTCTTTGGTCAACTACCAAGGGTGGCAGCAGCAGATGAAGAGGTGCAAGAGTTGGATACACAGGAAGGACTTGCAGCTGCACCATCTATCACAAACGACCTAGACCCATTCCCCACAGAGATCATCACAGAAGATGGACCAACTAATAACAACTTTGAAGCCATTACCCCTCATCCTATTTCTTCCCCTCACTCTCTTCCTTCTACTCATCTAACTTGTACTTCTATTTTCAGCACTGAGGGTGACATCCCAACTATCCCACCTCCCTGCGACTTCATGGACGAGGCTGCAAGTGACACGCAGGGAGAAATATCTACACATTCTACTCAAGTCGAAAACACCTCATATGGGCATGTAGGGAGAAGAAGGGCTGCTCGGGTTGCATACCTTGAAAACGCTGAGAAAATGAAGGTGGCACACGCAAAGAGGAAACGTGTTACCACACAATCTTTCAGCGAAGGTCAGTTCACTCATGAGCCATCTTTCACTTACTTTTAAAAATAAAATTTTAGTCACCTTCAACAAATAATACTCTAGCACTGAAACAATAATGCTTGCAATTTCAGCCATTCTTTTTTTTCCCCCCACCTATCTCTCCCATTTTTTAACTTTGCTTTTCAGTGAGGCAACATTCAAACTCTCCCATATGGGTTGATCGAGGAATCAATTTTTGCCTCCTTTTGCAATGCTTTTTGATCACAACCAACATCAACCATTTATGAATTTCTACATCCAAAGTCCAGAACAGGCCCATTGCTGGAATGGGATGGTGCTGGGGGTTGTATAAAGAAATTCAACTTGATTTCTTTAGGCAATTCACAAGTAATATTCATAACATCTTGTATCAGTGCTGTGGCAATGCCTCTAAACATTACTAGGCATGACTAATTCTGAAGTGCCTGATCCATCTATTCTTGCTCCATCTAGGTACAAAAGTGTCAATCAAGATCCCAGAAAAGGATCGGGAGGGGTTGCCAGAGCTGCGATTGCCAGGAAGAGTAGTCGACGTGACTTCCAAAGGGTTATATAAAATTGCATGTTTGACAGGAGTGGTTAAGACTAGATTAAGAGGGGGGGATCTCACAGAGTATTGGGGCATGGATGTTCCTCCAGTGCAAGAGCTGCCTGGGGTGATAAGAAAAGAACGGCCTCTCCGGGCCATTGCAAATGATTTTTATAAAATATTTGTGGAGATATGTTATTGGTGTGGAAATTATAATGCCCCATCTTCAGAGAAAAACTTTAAGTGGAGGCAATGTAGTTGCATGAGATGGTATCACGATGTGTGTCTCTCCCATCAAGACTTCTGTCCTTTCTGTACAAAGAAGATACCATGAAGGCCTTCATTGTGCTCAGTCTTCATGGAATCTTCTTTGTCACATGTCTCTCTTTTTGAATTTTTTTGTTGCATGTCACAAACTTTCTCTTGTTTAATTCTAGTATTCCTATTGTAAGGCAATAAATTTGTTTCTATATGGACTGGTTTGTCATTTCTTAATTTGAGTCATCCATCAACTGGATGTACTTCAAACTGAAATCTACCCTTTCTTCTCTCTTCAGATCCTGTTTGTCCCATCCACAAACAAAAGGCAACCCTTCACCAAGTGTCAGGATTTGATTTCTTATTCTTTCCCCAAATTAGCCAAATAGCCAACTTGGTCTCTGACTCAATTTCAAAAATAGGTACCTGCCCAGGGAAAGAGCAATGGCTGTTTACTACTTAGTAACAGAAATCCAAGACCATCTAAAGTCTCCAACTTTCCTTTCTATCTCAAGATATCATATTATGCAAGTTTCAGGCTTATAATTTAAAGAACGGGAAACTGACATTTTCAAGGGAGGACTTGTATCAAGGCATATATCCAGCATACCACAATAGAGGGTTGAAGGATCAGGGCTACAGAAATGCCTTAGGGAAAGCTTCAGATTGAATTCAAACATTGGAAAACATTGAAAAAGTGTCTGTCCCAATAGGGATAAACCAATAAATCCCATTATCCAAAAATAAAACTATTGTTGAAGGTGTCACTACCTGCAATCAATGGAAGCACTACTTTGTGTGTGTGTGGGGAAAGGGGGGGTTAGTACAAATTCATCCGAGTAAGAGGAGCATTGGTATGTAGGAGGTACTTTTATAAAGATGATGAAATCACAGTAAAAGATAATGCGCATGTCCGGCATAACGGAATAAAAGGGGGCGCGCTCTCTCATCGCCCCCAGCCCAGCCCAGCTCAGCCCATACAGTTCACTCACTCAGCCCGTTCCCTCAGCTTAACATCTTATCACTCCTCTTTGGACTCTCTTCTGCGCCCTATAACTCACCTCCCTTGACGTCAGTGCTGCAGATCGTATGCTGTCTGTCACCCCACCGATACCACACGGGTTTATATTCAGGTATTGCTGTAACTCATAGATACCGGATTATTCGCAAATCCCCTTGTCTTAAAACTGTAAAACGGGGTAAAGGTAAAGGACCAAGAGTAATAATAACTGGAGAAATGGTCGACCAACAGTGTTATTTCATTAACACTATTTAAGGAGTCAACGGAGTCATTGGAAACCTCGAACACGCTGGCGATCTCTTCGTGATAGTCATTAACGTTAAATCACGTCGGAGCCGCCTACAGGTATGAGGGACATGATGGGCATTACACATCATTGGTCGCTTATAATCTACTTCAGAAATGCTACATACATAACTCTAATATCCTAGGGTACAAAGAAATGACTAATGAAGCTAGTCCAATTGCATCTCTACCACAGGTCATCAGTCGGCATAGTTAGGCTAGCAGGGATACGAGTCGGCAGCTAGAGAGGCGCGGGGCATCTCTCAGCGCCGAATCATGGCGGACATCTCACCGCGCCGAGGGATGTCTCACCGCACTGGGACACGAGTCGGCTGAACAGGCCTAACGTTGAAAGGTAGGCGTAGGTCTTATGCTTAATGAATATCGGGGGCAATATCGGCAGGCTAGCCTAACTTAGGTGTACCCAGGCCCAAACAGTACCGGGAGATGCAGCTTCCATATGTATTTGCATTTCTTGCAAAAAAGAATGTTATTCAATAATTCAATTTGTGTTTAACCTAACATGATTAATTCCCACAAATGCAGATGAACTGAGAACTTGTGATTAGGAGGCCCTTTGCTTCTCTCTGTGTTGCTGTCTTGTGCAGCTTGCTGTGTCATTGTGGTGGCCCTTGCAAGTCGCAGTAAGACTTGGCTCTACCTGAGCTGGTGCACTTGAAATCAAAGGTTGCCAAGATGAAGATAGGTTTTACTCATGGTATCTGGGTGGAGAAATATGTGTTCCCAGAGGAGACAGAATTTGGTATATTAACTCATGTAATGTACAGTAGACCAGATCTCATGGACCCATTTTCCCTTTTGGTACACCCTTGTTTTGGATCGTATTTACTAAGTGGTCTCTTTTTTGAGGAAAGACCTATTAAGCCTACATTTCTTTCATGTTTTGCAGTGCTTTAGGTATTCTGTTGGCGATATATATTGAAAGTGTTAAAAATGCCTAAGGGATCACAGGTAGCTAAAAGTGCTTAATGAATATCGGGGGCAATATCGGCAGGCTAGCCTAACTTAGGTGTACCCAGGCCCAAACAGTACCGGGAGATGCAGCTTCCATATGTATTTGCATTTCTTGCAAAAAAGAATGTTATTCAATAATTCAATTTGTGTTTAACCTAACATGATTAATTCCCACAAATGCAGATGAACTGAGAACTTGTGATTAGGAGGCCCTTTGCTTCTCTCTGTGCTGCTGTCTTGTGCAGCTTCCTGTGTCATTGTGGCGGCCCTTGCAAGTCGCAGTAAGACTTAGCACTACCTGAGCTGGTGCACTTGAAATCAAAGGTTGCCAAGATGAAGATAGGTTTTACTCATGTATCTGGGTGGAGAAATATGTGTTCCCAGAGGAGACAGAATTTGGTATATTAACTCATGTAATGTACAGTAGACCAGATCTCATGGACCCATTTTCCCTTTTGGTATACCCTTGTTTTGGATCATATTTACTAAGTAGTCTCTTTTTTGAGGAAAGACCTATTAAGCCTACATTTCTTTCATGTTTTGCAGTGCTTTAGGTATTCTGTTGGCGATATATATTGAAAGTGTTAAAAATGCCTAAGGGATCACAGGTAGCTAAAAGGCGATCAAGGAAGAAGAGTGATCTTCATGCGAGCCAGGCGACATCGCATGAAGATGAGTCGGTAAGGAAATCCATGCTTGGCCTTGGCCTAGACCTACCTGTTTCTTCAGTTCTCTGATGATTTGCTCTCTTTCTATGGAACTTGAAGGGTGGAGGGATATGCTCATACCAAGAGTTTTGCTATATATAGTTCTCATAAGCAATACATGCAGGACTTTGAGAGGCTTCGTGAACAATTATGGAAATGCATAGTTCCTTTCATCTGGTATGTACGATAAATTTCTCAGTGTGAAAAATGTATATTGATTCTTTGCTGGGTGCTGTTTGATATATCTGCATGCAATGTGCTTCAACAGGAGGATGATGAGGTGAATGACACACAAAACACATCGGCATCACAACGGAAGAAGCTATCCCCAGAGGACATAAATAAACTGGCCCTGGATGTAGTTCATTATGTGCTTACAACAGACCAGAAGAAGTACGTTAAGAGACCTGACATCATAAAGCATGTGATCATGAGAGAAAACAGCAGTTTTTTTAAGGACATAATGAATGAAGCAGGAATCAAGTTGCTACATGTAAGTGTTGTTTTTTATCCTCTCTATGCATAGATATTTGAGCTTTAGATTCAGAATCTATAACACAGAAGTTCTGACTTCTGAGGAACTTGAGAATGGGGAAGACAGTAATATTTCTTTTTGATCGGTCTTGTTCATTGCTTAAAGTAGTACAATTTGAATGATCCAACTCTCCTTTCAGTCTGTATCCATGAATGTAATTTTTCATGGGCATTCTTCCATATGTACTTTTTAGTTACTTACAGTAATTTTATCTTCATTGCATCTATCTTGCATTGATAGCCATTGTGTATACCTATATGTGTATAACTTATAGGTGTTTGGTATGGCACTTGTGGAGCATCAGGAGAAGAAGGGCCATTATACTCTCATCAATCGTCTCAGCAACGATCATGCATTACCTCATCTCAAGTTCTGCAAAGAAGAAGAAGCCAAGCTGGCACTTCTTTTACCAACCCTAGCCATCATATTCATGAGTGGAGGAGTTGTTGCTGAAGGCAAGTCTCTAAATCTGTTTTTGCTTGTTCTTCTGGGGCTGATAAGTCTGACAGATGAAATGGAATAATATTCAATTTATGATGTCTTTTCAACAGTCCACCAATGAAATCTGAAAGACCAGAAGCTAATTTATCTATTGTTCCTGCTTTTTGCCATGTTGATGACCAATTGAGTGCTAGAAAGTAAGCTTTCACAATGTAAAGGGTGTTCTGAAAGTTTTTATCTTTATTCCTACCTCCAAGGTCTATATAAAATAGGATGTTGCAACTTTTCACATGGGTATAAGTGCCTGGAAGCAACAGTTATTTTATAAAATTATAATTTACATCACAATGGATGTACTTTTCTCAATGCTGTTTTTTCCTCATGAAGCTATTTTGATGAAACTAAAGTTCTTTGTTGAGTAACGACTGGCAAACAGCAGCTTGCAGGTCATTGCCACTGCCAAACCGTCTTCCTTGCAGATCACTCTTCAGTGGTCTTGAAAGGTTGGTAATTTAGGGCACAAGATCAAGTCTGTTATTGAGGTGGGAAGCAGTGACCACTCCCTCATGTCAATATGGGTTGGCATTGAGTTTCTCATGTGACACAAGAAGAGCTGATGATGACTTTATTATTGCCAGAGTGCAGGAGAAGTTCTCAAAGCTTCCCTGACCTGATGGATGGCTCCTAGGACTAGGGGCTGATTCCTTGCTCATCTGTTTAAGTCTGAAGCTCCTCTTTGTTTATAAGGCATTTCTCTTTTGCTTTTGAAGTGGTTGGCCATTATTATGTTGGCGGTTTGTAATGAATTGAACCTAAAGCACTTACCCAAAGGTCCTGTAAATGCTTTTCCCTTGGAAAGTAGTGGGACAAAGTAGCTAATTGTAAATAAGTTTGCTAACTGGTAGCAACCATCTGCTATGCATATTGAAGAGTAAGGTATATCTTGATTAAATTTTTATCCTTTTGAATTTGTTAAAAAATGAAGATTCTAGGAAAGGTGATAGTTGCTGATTTTTTTTTTAAAACTCAGGCTGTGAGTATCATAAATACTATGTAATCTATGCCTCCCCTATGAAGTACACTATCTCATCCTTTCATTTCATGATCATCCAGAGAATGAAAAGCATGGCATTGATGCATGTTGAGGAGTTTTTAAATGGCACAACTGATGTTGCTCTATCTCTGCATCTGTCCACAGAGTCCATTATGATGTTCTTGAAGGAAATGGGTATGGGGGGTGAAAATTCATCAATACACAAGGAACTTGGAGATGGTGCATCCCTCCTGAAGCTTTATGTAGCACGAAATTACTTGGAGCAGCATAGACAAGCCAACTCGGAACCTCCTACGTACGAATACACTTGGGGTGAACGTGCTCTTCGAGAAGTACCAAAGAAGGAGCTTCTTGACTTTGTTTGTAAGGTAAGTTATTTCCATGTGATAGCATTTGAAAGGTTTTTGTTGCTGCTGTTGAAGCCTGCTGCACTGCTTTATTGGAGGCTTTTGGTCCTCTGAATGAAATGCATAATGAACTAAAGATTTCCATGTGTCACTGGTAAGTAAATATCAGAATGCACTAATATTGTAGTGTCAAGTGGTGATAGGTTTAATTATTATTCATGAAGCACTCTAGATTAACTTTATTAACGGCAGGGCTTGTGTTTACGTGCAGATGAGCATCCTATACACACAAAATTCTAAAGGGACGCGTAACAGAAACACATCAGAGTCCCAGGGACATGCGGGAAAGTTCTAGATTTTCTGACTGGTTTTCAGACCAGTTAGCAGTTGCCTCTTAGAACCGTGCCTAATTAAACCCATGTGCAACCTTATTAGTGACAGGAAGGGGGGGGGGGGGAAGAGTCCTTGCCGAGGAAGGTGCGCGACGTGAAAGTGATGAGAGTGGCGCATGATGCATTGTGTTCACACGTTCATGATGTATTTCCATTCGTTTCAATTTAGACTTCAGGGCAGTTTGGGCCAACACTCCTCTCGTTCAGTTACAAGCGGAAAACGTACAATGTTAGTTTATTTGAATCACACGTTGGCATCTGTTCAGATGTTCATGAACATGGGCCTAGTGGCAAATAAAGAAAGGTATCAGTGTAGTAGGTATAAATTCTAAACGGTGATGTCACTTAGGGTGCACAGAGAAGGGAAGATTGCCGTAGACTTTGACCTAGTCAAACCGAAGGGAAAGAGATGGACGCGGGTGATTATGAAAATGGGCAGCTTGTGAACCATGAATCACAACGTAGGAAAAAAGGTTTTTAAATTGGAAAAAGGCATGGGTCAAAATGTATTCCTGGCTTTCCAATAGAGATGGATGAGCTTCCTGTGATTACTGCTCAAATTCAAATAAGAAAAACCCCTACTCAGCATCTGGCAGTCTTAATAAGCAGAAGTTTGTAATTTGAAAATTTGAAGATGCCCTAGGGATATTTGTTAAAGAGAAAATGTTGGAAGTAATCCTAAAGCTGCTGGATTGAATATCATTCTTTTGGTCATGTTAAATCAAAGAAAAAACATTGTGGGATTTGAAACTCTTTGTGCAACTTTGCAAGATTTCATCATGCTTCAATTGCAATGGGACTCCAAAATTTTTCTGAGTGACTTAAGGGTCCTGAGGACCCTTAAGGCAAGAAAATTAGCACAAGCCCTGGATGGGCCAAAGTACAATTTTTATTTTCTCACTACTTCTCGCATGTTTCAAGGTGCTTTGCCTGAGAATACACAGAGTGGCATGTTATTCCAAAGGAAATGCAGTTGCTCTCCAGGAGGTAGGAGGGTCAGTGGTGGAGAGCCTGCTGAACCAAAGGACTTGATGTTTTGTCTCCTGAGTTTCCAAATTTATAGCCCTAATAATTGCACTGATGAACCTGTTGTTTCAAGGCTATTCCTTGTCATCCCAGAGTGTGCCTTTGAATCTTTGAATGAGGGAACATCTGTATGCACTTGTTTCAGGTTTATGGAGATGCTGTACCCACAGACTGGCCACTGCAGTACAGGGAAGCCACTGGACAACATTGTGAAATTACTTTTGCAGAAAATTGAGGAAATCATTCCTTGATATTGTTCCTAATTGTGCTCTTTTCTAAGAAAAGTATTTTTGTATATTATGGTTTTATGAGCAGTTACTGGTGAATGCTGCCCTCATTTATTTCACTGTCATTGATGGATTACCCTAATACTTCGTTGAGGCAGGTAACAGAAGGACTTTTTAACAGTTGAAAAGCAGCTGGGGGAGCATCTGACTGTTCCCAGGGTGTGACACTTCTACCTGACCCAGCTTGCTGAAAGAGACAGAGATGTTCAATATTTGCTCACAATTTTTCTCAGCCTGGTTATTCATCTCCAATACAGTACTAGACGTCTAACATGTTGGACAAAAAAATCTATTTTAGCTGAAAATAAAAGCAAGTATTCTGGTAATTCATCAAACAGGATACTACCCCAAAATATAAATGAAAAGTTTTCTTCTCTTGTATTATTATCTGTTTTATGGGTAGTATTCCTGAAGAGCATAATCTGTGTTTCAAAGCTTAGAATGCCTTTGATTTGCTCAAAAATCTTGTAATTAGATTATTTTGCTGATCAAATAACCAAATTGTTTTAATTCACCCTTCTTGATGAATTTTTTTTTATGATAGAAGAGAATCAGGTATTTTGAATATTATTGCAGTCATCATTGTGGCATTTTTCTCTGCTGTTCTCATGTTTTTGTTTTTAGTGCAGTATGTAGGAGAATAATATTATAAAGCTTCCATTTCTTAATACCTACCAAATCGAACTTGCTTTAAAATGATAATGATGGTTAGAAAGATTGATATGTAAAATAAGTACTTTGTGAAATGACTCCAGAAAAAAAGGAGAGATTTTCAAGTTCATTGAGGTTTTCACCTTTCAGGCCTTCTATGGGGCACACTGTATTTATAAATGCCCATTAATTCTTCAAGAAGTAAGACTCGTGATAAGTGTAAGGCACTTGCTACAAAAGTTTGCGTTCAGAAATTCTGTATTTTGCTTGTTTTTTCTGCATTTGACCTATTTCTGTATATTACTCAAAATATAAACATTCAGGCTGGTCTGCGTAATTATAGTTCTCGATGTTACAGCATGCAAGTTCTGACAAACCCGAGCCTCATTCATTCATATAGATTTCAGTGATGCATAGTATTTTCAGGTCCACTATAAGACCACTGTTGCAAGGGACCAGAAGCACAGTTTGTTTATGTAGATTTGCTTGTTATCTGTTCATTGATGCAAATATATTTCCATTGTCCTCTGATTAGGAAAAAGTTAGGAAAAAAATACAGGTGAAGTGAATGCCAAGGAGAACCCTTATTACTGACTCTATATTATTAGAGGATGGGGAAGTCTTCAAAGGATAAGAGGGACATCTATTACCGCTTGGCTAAGGAAGAGGGCTGGAGGGCTCGAAGTGCGTTCAAGCTCTTGCACATCAATGAAGAATTTGACATCTTCAAGGGTAAGCATTTTGGGCATAAACTAACTTCACAATGAGATGTGTCAGAGATTTCAATGGGGAAGGGTACAGAATTGAGGGACCAAAAATCTCCTGGTCTGACTTCTCTTAAACTTGTTACATGTTCTTTTTGGAGCCCTTCAGAGATCCAGTGTATGAGTTCAAAAATACATTCAATGGCAAGAAAGCCTGGCATAAATATCACTTGCTCCAAATTTGCCAACTTCAGGTCAGCCTCATGACCTTTCATAATAGTTGTAATTATAATTTTTTTTAATTTGAGTAGGGTAAAAGACCCAGTGATGGACCGGTCCCCAGTGATGGGCCACAGCACATAAAAATTCCAATAGCTAAGCTTCCATAGCATGCCTACGCATATTATGACATAGGTTAGCAGCATTCAAGCACANTAGCAGCATTCAAGCACATAGACACTTCAGAGGTGGTAATGGAACAAATGCCAAAATTTTGGAATTTTCCTGCGAAGTGGCCCATCACTGAGTACCCGCCATTAACAGGCCCATCACTGGGTCTTTTACCCTATGTCCCTTTTAAAATAAATTGGACACTTTTTGCATGCATTTGTGTGGGGGAAAAAACTGATTAGATTCCTTTGTTCAGTTGACATGAATATTTATCAAATATTCCTACAGATACCATGGTTGGTTCATATAGGTCTTGGCCAAGGACAATCTGCAGAGTGGCATCTGGTATTCATAAGAAATACTAGGTTAAGACCTCACATATTTTCCTAATGCCATCTTCACTGTGTCTCCAAATTCTATCTTTTTTTTTTTTTTAACAAGGTGAAGTTTCATGAAGTACTTAGACCATTGTAATTTTACTAAAGGGAGGCAATAAAGGAAACAGTACCAGCAAAAGAAAGTAGTGGAGATACTTGGAAAAAGTTGAGTCCTAACATCCAGGTCAGACAAATGTGAATTAAGAAACCGAAATAAACAAAAAGGTGCCTTGCTTTTCATTGCTGGACAGATGGGAACTTGCCATGAAAAGTAAGTTACAATTAAGGACAGGACCTTCTAACCTTGCTAAATTAGCAGTCTCTAATTACAGCTTTAATTATGTTTTTTTTGCACTCAACATCCTACTTAACCATTCCCCTGGAAGGGACATGCATAAAACTTTCTTTGTAAATTTGTATTGTAAGGATAATGAATATTAGACCTTTCATGTGATTCATGGCAGATTCTTTTCTGATTCTACAAAGCATGACAGAGATATTCTTGGGAGCAATGGTTAATATGCTCTGTTGTATGAGATTCATTAGCAACATTGACTGTATGGAACACAGCTTATTCTTTGATTTTGTAGTTACCCATGTGAATACTTCTCTTATTAGACACAAGTATAGAAGATAATAGAGCATTTTTTGCAGGAGTGAAAAGAGTGGTGGATTTATGTGCAGCACCAGGAAGCTGGAGTCAGGTTCTCTCACGGAAGCTGTGGTGAGTTCTTTGAAGACCATATGTTTCCCCTAATTTTTTCGTAATCACATTCTCTCTATTTTGTCTTTTTATAGGCACAACCTCAATAACACATGATGTGAAAGTGGAATATGAGAAGTATATGAATTTAGGGAAGGCTCAGATACATTTGCAGTTGAAATTCAGGATCTTTCATTCATTATTCATATACCCTTCACTGGTCTATGTGTAACATGGTTGTTACCATGGCATAGAGTCCTCTGGTACCCTGGTGTTCACTTATGTTTGCTATATGTCCATTTTCTCTCATTCAGGTTAAGAGCAAGATATCCTTTTTTGCTCTCAGGTTTAGGATGTGTTATGGAAATGCTGAGAAAATTGCAGTAAATTCCTGCTGCTAATTTTATTGTCAGCCCAAAATAAATGTAGGTCAGTCACTCAATGCTTATGAGAATATACCGTATTTACTCGTGTATAAGGCGCTTTTTTTTGCATATTTTATTGTGTTCGATGAGGGGGTGCGTCTTATACTCGAGGAAAAAATTCTTTTTTTCGAGAAAAAAATTTTCAGCATATCTATAACTCATTGATCACTAATTTGAGGCGGAAACTGTCTGCAGTTAGTCAGAACAGGAGAAATATAATAATTATAAAACAGTAAACAGGGAGTGGCTACGTTGATTCGCGGACTTCATTCAGTATCAGAATCGGAATCTGAGGTGTCTGGCGGCGTGGAAAATTGATTCGCGGAGCTCACATCCTCCTCCAAGGGGCCGTTCCAGAGACAAGAATTTCTCATGGAAAGCTGCTGACGTTTTCCGACAAACAGAAAATCCAACTTGCTTATGAATCGCGTCGTTCAACCTCATGATGCATTGAATTTTCGATGGGAGATCCCATTTGCTCTCGAAATCGTATGGGTTCGCGTCTCCATCACTCTCGGTCACTCCCTTCTTGATTACCGGAAATTATTCCTTTTTCCCCACGAAAGGCCATGAGATTCTTTAGAGCCAGGCTTAATTTTGCCTTCGCCTCCATCCGCTTCTGTATACAACTTTCCTCAATGTCATACTTATGACCTATTGCACGGATGCCCAGCTCCTTCGCTTCCTGAATCACATGGATTTCTCTGTAGCTGTGTTATTTCGCCGTATATTTCCATCCGTTTTCACGGATAATAAGACAAACGTTAGGGATACTGTGCCCCCCCCTCGATAAAGGTCAGGACAGTGAATAAGAAACGAGGTTCGACCTACCTCAAGACAGGCTTCACCCCATATTCATCTCCCTTGTCTGACACTTTTCGCTACAAAATAGGGGGGTGCGCCTTATATGCAGGGAATCTTTTTTTACACAAATTGGGACCTCAAAAGCGGGGGTGCATCTTATACACGGTGGCGCACTATACTGGAGTAAATACGGTATATTACTTGAAGATAGTTTAGCTGCTGCTGGGAAATCTGGGAAATTGATTTTTCTGTACAGATTTTTTGGGGGAATTGTTTTGTTGAAATCCCTACAAGTCAACAACTGCCAGGAAACCAAATTCCCTTTTCCACCCAAAACCTAAGTATGAAACCCTTATTTTTCTGGTGTTGTTAGAAGGAAAGTTTTTCATGGATGCTTTTGTGTCTTGAATGGGTCCAGGATCAGAAGGAAAGTAGCATTATGGCCAGACCATTCAGTCATGAAAAATATCATCATTTGCAAAGTCAAGTAGATGGTAGAAACACTTCCCCATTGTATCTCATGGTACAAAATGCTAATAAACTTAGATGATTGGGCTTTTGGGTTAATGCATCAGATTATATGAGTGGCATACTCACATGAAGCCCTCCATTATCCACCAATGACAAAAAAATAGTGTTAACTTTAGCTGTTAGAGCTTTGCATGATATGCATGAACAGAAGGTGATAAATTCCTCAACTAATATTGCAGTGGAAGCTCAACAAATGAAGCCGGAGTGAAGATAGTGGCAGTCGATCTGCAAGCAATGGCTCCCATACTCGGGGTCATTCAGATCCAAGGTGACATCACCAAGGAGTCCACAGCAAAAACCATTATTCACCACTTTGAAGGGGAGCAAGCTGACCTTGTTGTGTGTGATGGTGCACCAGATGGTATTTATCTAATTACATGTTCTAGAACATTGGATTTTGATGTTGTAGCAGGCATTGCCTTTGGTGAAGTGCATTTATCTGATAATTGGGATTGTGCAAGAAAAATCGTTGATACTTGGGATTCAGCAGGAGGTAACCAATGAATATGTAAAGGGACTGGGTTGCATATAGTAAAACAATATCTTCCATTTATTTTAGGGGTTCCATTAGGTCATTCAAATCAAATGGAAGTGCATATGGAATTTCTGATAGGAGAATATGCATAACAAACTTCTTAAGCCAGTAGGGGTGCCGTGTCAGTATTGATACATTGCAGTACATATCCTGTATCATCTTCTGTAGCTTCTGGAGGCAATATGTAAGAGACGAGCACATCTTCCATAGGTAGATCTTTCCATTCCAAGAATGGCTGATATAAAAAGAAGGAGCCAACAAACACTCATCAGAAGACAACAATGAATAGACAATGAGGAGACCTTTGTGTGGAGTGACACAATATTTATACATGTTAGGAAAAACCTGAAGTTCTTTTTATGTGCCATTGATGGATACTTTGTGATTGCACCTCGTAAAATTCATTCTTGATCCCTTCAAGAAAACTGGCTAGTAATTCAGTTCACATTTTTCAAAGATTCTCAACCATAGGTGTGTATGCAGCTTGCCACTTTGTTCAGGTGGATTTTTAAATCTGAAATGGAGTAATGGTCTCTTTTGACAGTGACTGGATTGCATGACATGGATGAGTTCGTCCAAGCACAACTACTTCTCGCAGCCCTCAACATCACCACACACGTCCTCAAGCCTGGAGGGACGTTTGTGGCTAAGATATTCCGAGGGCGTGATTGCTGCTTACTTAATGCTCAGCTCAAGATCTTCTTCCCCGATGTCACGATTGCCAAACCGAGGAGCTCTCGGAATTCCAGCATCGGTGAGAAACTCTCAATGGGCCTAAAACTCTGCATTTCTGAGATATAATTAGGACCAAGGAAGGATAAAATGAGACCTTTGGGGCTAAATGAAAAAACTTCACTTGGGCTGAGTCAGTTCTTTTTCCTCTACACTGACTCACTTTCCTCCTCTGGAATAGAGGAAGAGAATTTTATTTATCTTGTGAATTGTAATCCATACATACATTTTACTTGTGATATTCAAGATATACTGCAACATTTTGAAAAAATGATTTAAATCCAGCAGGGTATTGGTGGGATAAGTTGCCAGCTGACCTGATAAAATTTGGAACAGCTGCTTCCTTGCCTCTTCTCTGGATTCTTTCAAACAAAAAAAATGATGTAGTATTTTGAATGGATGAATAGAAAGCTTGGAAGTGTATGTTTTTTCCAAAAGTTTTTCCACAGTGGATGAGCAAAATTCAGTGCTGAATTGCATGAATGGGTTGAACTAAAATCTTTGGGACTCATGGATTCTATTCTAATACATCTGTATAATCCAGTCCTCATGTCAGACATGTCACTTATTCTCAAGATTATGATAGTCTCGTGAAGCTCTTGTCCCTGCATGTCTGTGCTGCTTTTGGCAGTTCCAGGGTTAAGTTCTGAGGCAATGTGTGTTGATTTTATTTTTCAATTTCAGAGGCATTTGTGGTGTGCAAGGGCTTTAAACTGCCAGAGGGTTACAAACCAAATATGAGTAACCCTTTGTTGGACTTGAATTACGATGGTATGATGAATGAACTTGAGGGACCAAACCGTGTCATTGTCCCATTTCTTGCCTGCGGAGACCTGTCTGGATATGATTCTGATCTCACTTATCCCCTGAAGGTAAGACTTCAATACTACATAGTTACCTGGAATATCATGTGTACTTTTCATTCTCCTTCATTCTCTGTCTGGGGCTGACTTTCATAGCAGCCAGAGGTTAGATTATGGATTCTACCCCTTGCATTCCTTTCAGACTTAAAATTGCCACATTTTTCAGTGACAGCTTGCAGATGAAACCTATAAAAGTTAAAAATATATATCCAAATTCTGGCATGTTGTTGAAAGGAATTTGATGTCTTCTTGTCTTGTGAAGGATTGCGAGATTACATGAAGCATAGACCCAAATGATATGGTCATGATTTTCAGAGTTTACTCCCAAGTTGTTTGATATGTCTGCAGAAATGCTGGAATGTGTATAAACTTACAGAGTAGAAAATTGAAATTCAGTCAGGTTGCTGTGGAAATTTGGTGTAGGAGGTCTTCCTGTTACTGCTGTGGCTTTTGATATGCTTCACATCATCATTGAAAAAGTAGATTAGGGTTGTCAGCAGGGTTGCTGGAGCATCCTGAGTTTATTTGGAGAAGTGAGTCAGTTTGAAAAATAATGGAACATCAAAGATTATTATGGATGAAAAAAGACAATAATGCTTTTACTATGGGAAAATCGTGAAATTCCATTTGCCTGGAAGTCCTTTGTACTTTGATTCCTTTGCTGAATGTGGTGGCATCCTAAAGAATTTTGTGGGGCTTTTGTAAAGTTTTTCTCAAGACTGATTGTTTTTTTTTCCTGCTTTGTCTCCTGTTGTAGAGCCCTGGTATTTTCCATTGTACCCTACTTTTCCTAATTTTTTTTTTGTTCTTGCTTCTTATGACTGTTTTTATCCCCTTGGGTGTGATTCATGTGTTCTCACCATTCAGTGTCAGCTGCTTCTGCAGCAAAACCCAATGATAGGAGTCAAGTGAGAAGTCAATGACTAACACCAACAGACAAGGTAAAAAGAGGATTCAGTAATAATAAAAAGAAAATAGCCTCTGAAGGGCCTGTGGTAGGGTTGCAGTCTCAAGTGATAAGGAGAGAGGATACTTGGTCTAAATGTGGCCTTCACATGATCTTGTGTTCCAGAGTTCTCGAGGCGAGTATGAATATCATCAGCCGACTCAGGTGCCTATCCGCCCACCTTACGAGGAAGCAGTTTCTTTGAGGCGCTCGGATGGATTGGCAAAACCCTTGAATGAATTTGAAAAGCTCAAACTATCCAAATGACTTGAAGATGATTTTTAAATGTTTTATATTATTCATTGTGGATGCTTTTTTCCACTGAACTTCATTGAATCTGATGATGCACAGGTGGAAATACATCCTTCCATGAATACCCTCAAAGTTGAGGATTTAAGGAATCCTTGCTGGCTCCAAATTCCAATTGGATTTGAGCCTGTGTGCACTCCATTTGTTCACTCAATTACTTACCAGACTATCCCCCCCTCAGTCACAAAAGCAAAGGTATCGAGAACTGCATGATGTTGAGTCAGATGATTGAAAACATACAATTAAGAAAAATATATATATTCCATACCTTCCACCAAGAAGTAATGGTTATCAGACCCAATCAGGATATCTGTGAATCCCGTAAAAAACAATTATAGCAGATTGTTTGAATCTACAATGTGGTTTCCCCCTTCAGCAGTCTCACATGGCCCAACTTTATTTTTATGATCACTTACCCTCTGAGGGGGTAAGTGCAATCAAAATGACCTGGATCCTCTTGCAGTTTACAAAATGCCATGATTTGAAGCCCCCAGTCTAACAATGGTATGCCCAGGAAAGAGCAATAAGTTCAATAACAATTTTTTTTCCTGAGTAAGAACTTCCAGCTGATTTGTTGCTTTTGAGTTAATTCCAAAATTTCTATCCCATTTCTGCAAGTTTGGCATGATATCCCTCTGTCTATTAAAGATTCCCTCTGCTTTGATTTTGAAGATTCACTTCTGGTAGCATGGGACATTCATTTGGTGAAGAGATTAGATTTTTCTGCATGGTTCCAGGAAATGATCAATTTGTGATACCATTTTAATTATTCTTGTATAAAAGGATGGAATCCTTATCACTCAACTGACTCGACTGAGAATGATGCAGGAAGGCAAGGGGAGGAAGTTGTGTCTTATGGGCTGGCCCCTTAATACATTCTTGCTTTAGGGTCAGATTTCTTCAGAATCTCTCTCTCAAATTCATTCCTCACTAAGAGTAAATGAGAAGTCAGCTGAAATTGATGCTTTCAGTCTAGACCAGGGCTTCCAAAACCTGGGATCGCCAAGGTCATGTTTGGGGTCATGAACCGGCAACTAAATGCCATGTTAAATTTTTTCTTTGTGATTTTAGCGCATAGGTAAGGGAGCCTGTTGAACTTCAGCCAGTGCTTGGGGTCCCAAATGGTACGATCGTGATTTTTGGGGTCGCACATGAAAAAGGTTGGGAAGCCCTGGTCTAGACCTTGTGTTATAACCATTCCTCATTTATTGTGGATTTCACCCCCACATTAAAGAACTTTCTGTAGAGTACAAGCAATATCCCAGAGTTAAGGTCCTCAATCATAGTGGGAGCAGAGCCTCTTTGAATCCAGTTCAAGTCCTTGCTATATGTTTCACATGACCATCCTATGCACACATCAGGAGAGCCCCAAGTACCTGAAATCAAGTGAGAATTGAAACCAAATGCAGAAAGGGAACAGACCTTCATTCCTTTTGAAGGCAGACAGAAAGAAATATGCCAGAGAAGGGGGGGGAAAAAAAGAAGACCATGCTTTTCCATTCAAAAGAATGGACCTTTTTCCAGCTATCACAGTCAAAAATTAGCAGAAAATCAGAGCAAATTGAGGGAGGAAATGACAAAAATTGCTTTCATTCACACTTCCCTTCGTGCTGAAAAAAAGGCCGTACCACATCTCAAGATTCCATTAGTGTCTCAACAAACTTGACTTATTCCATAGGAATAATCATTGTCAATCAAAGCAATTTGGAAATCCTCCAATTCAAACCACAAAAGCAGGCCATCAGGAAAGTGGAAATTTGTAAATGAGAAAATTCCTTCCAATGCACAAATTAAGATACCTTCCTGATACAATCCCTTATTTTACAATGCTTGATTACTCATCCAACCGGTAGAAGTTGAGGAAATTCACATCAAGGTGAAATTACAGAGTGGGGGAAAAAAAGAAAACACCCATTAGCATTACCTGCTTTGATCATGTGCATTCACACAATCCATACAGTATTTCAATGTGGGCCCCCATGAAGGTTATTTGCTTGGGTTCATTCAACAAGGATGAAGAGAGGCAGATATCAATTTCACAGACCAATCTCAAATAAGCAATGAGGGCTCCACATATTCTCTGCAGAATTCCTTGGAAGCAATATGAACTATGCTGGTTATATCAGATTTCACCATGTTAACTAATGTCATCAAAGGTTCTGCTCCAAGTATCTTCACAGTGAATATTGAAAAAAAGATACCAAGCCAGTAAACAGTTTCTTTTTATAAACACAAACTGTTCAAGATGTGCTTTTCAATATTATTTTGAAAAAATTAGTTCTAGCAAAAAACTGTCACTTTTCGAAGCAGAATAAAAAGCAGTTACATCAGCCCCACCAAAATTGGTTCCAAAAGGCCACTTCCAGCAGTGATGCAACTCCACAGTCATTTGTGAGCAGGGTAGCAAGATAGCAAGCATGATTTAAACATAGCATTCTTCTGGCTGTTGAGACAAAAAAAATTCAGTTGAGGATTGGCAGTACAGAATCCAAATTTCTTCACAATATTGAAAACTGCATTATTTTCATTTTGAACAGTTTGCACATAAAAGAAAATAGCACAGTACTGGATTTACTTTTTTGGACTCAGTGTACCATGCCCTGAGGTCTCCAAATATCAAAAGGATTCATGATTCCTGAAACTGATCATAGTTTAATGTGACAACATCTATAGACTCTTTCCATGCCTACTGGAGCAACAAGTCTTTCATTGATTGCTGCTTTTGGAAATTTCTGAAGTACATCTTTAGCTGCCCTTAGAAACTGGAGGTTGCTCATAGGCTTGAAAAAGGAAGCTGATAATCAAATTTTCCCACCACTCCATTCAAATTTCAACTTACCTCTGCTCAGAACAAGGCAGATAAAATGGCTGAAGAACCAAACAAATTTTTTACCTGAAAATGTGAATAAAGTGGACTTAACTGAAGGAACTCAATACTGAACTGACAAGTGCAGCTTCAAAACAGAACTCATTGCTCACAAGAGGAACTAAGCAGAAATACTATTCACGTTCCTCCATGTCTACTTGATCTTGACAAAACCAACACTAAATCAACCTTCTTTCTCAGATATCAGATGATTATTTGGAAGCCCAAATTCAGGACACAGTACCAACTGCATATCAGTACTTCAAAGAAAAAAAGGAGTAAAAAATGAAACTGATCATTCCATGAGGGCAAAATGCAAGTTCCCTCATGTCATCATTACAGTTCATCAAACCTGAATCATTTAGAGACATATCTGTTGAATTGAGATGAAAAACCAGGATATTATGAAGTGTAACAATTCTCAATAGACAAGGATGGCTAAGGGCAGCCAATACTGAAATAATGCATTCACCACAAATGGGGGAACAACACTAATGGATGACTCAAATTATCCAGAGGAATTCAGTCAATATCACGTGCCAAATGGATTTTCATCAGTTCCCATCAGTATCCAGTCAAAAACAAAGACTGCCATGTGAGTGAGCCATGATCATTATAACACTGTTGGGGATGCCAATGTTCCTGGGATTGCACATGATGAAAACACATACCCAACAGGGAAACAACATAAGAGGAGCAAAAGAGATGTCAAATGCCACAATGGGTTTTTGTGCACTTTCGATCACCACTTGCACACAAGGGAAAAAAGAAGTCAATCAATCATCAGAGATGTCTCAAACTCGCTTGCACTCACATGCATTGTCTTGGTCTGACATGAGCTACTTACACTGGATGTAAAGGTGTCATCACTTGATGTGATAGTTCTGTGGAGGAAGGAAAAGGGCTCCAGAAGTCACATAATCGCCGATCATGAGGCTGTTGCTCACTGGGTAGTGAGATGTGGTCCCCATCACAACCTGGGATGCCTGAGGAATCCATCCATTCATTACTTCATTGCAACTTCTACACCACAACAGCAATTCACATAATTTTCACAATCTCATGATCAATACTGCGACTGTTCATTTGTGAAAGTCAGAATTCAACCTCTCAAAATAACTTAAATCCATGTAATAATGCAATGCATATCAAATCAGGTCATTGATCAAGGTAAGTTTCTGGTCAGAGGCAAGAGTCGAAGCCTGTCTCATGTTGAGACATCTTTAGATGATATGCAAAGGTCAACATATAGATGCCAACATGTACAAGCTAAAGTTTCTTTGGTTCTCTAAAAGGCAATAATGGAATTTAGGTTTGTTCTGTTTCCAAAATTGTGAGAAAGGAAGCTCAGTCAAGAATAGAGATCCTTCACTTCCAGATGACAGGTTTTATATTGCTATGAGTACAAATGTATTCACAAAAGATCTGGCTTGACAGGTGATAAACATCTACTGGCATTTTCCCAAACAGTTGCAAAAACAAAGTCACTTCTACACAAAGGGTGGCAACTCAATCAGAAAACATGACAGCTGACAGGAAAGAGGGAGATGTGAGGACAGACCTGGGAAAAGCTGGAGGGAGACACTGCTCCGCCAATGAGCTGACTTGCAGAAGAAGCTGTTGGGCATGCCCGATTTGGTGTTCCCAGTGATCCTGAATTGCTCTTTCCTTGTCCAGTGCTCAAGATCCCGCCTGGATGCACTGCTGCATGACCCCCCAAGCTTCCACCAGTCCCATCAACTTCAATCAATGGAAGAGGGAAAATTATTCATTGCAATAAAGACATTCTAGGCATGAAATGATGACTAGCAATGGCTTACCCAGCTGACCCACAAGATGGCTTGCATCCATGTTGATCTCCCCCAATCCATTTACAGAAATTCCATTCACCAAGTTCACAGCTAAATGGAAGCAATAACATGGCTAAATGATCCACGGGTTTCCATTAATGCAAAGAACATCTAGGTAACAATGGTTATAGGCATCCAAGTTGCAATAATTTTTTTTGTTAAGGTGCTCATGAAGAATCCCCTTTCAAATCTCTCCATCAATATGTTGCTACAGAGTTTGATTGAGGGGAAAAGCAACCCCACTAACAATTCAAGTATTGTCTAATAGAGAGGAGGTAAGTATTTGGCTTCAAACATTTCTACCTAATGGGTAGCTAACTCAATTTGTAGCCGATGAAATGAATCCATGTCAGCATATAATTCTCTCATTGTTGTGTTGGGTAAATGACATTGGTGGATTCTGAATGTCAGTCACAGAGCAATAATGAAGACTGACCTTGCCTAGCCCCCTGTGCATCAAGTTGCTGCCAGTATGATTCACTTGGAGAGGTGGTGTTGTGACCTGGAGGAGTCTGGGGTTGTCCTGTATACCTAAAGTACGGGTTCTTCAGATCCAACGTATTTGATGATTGGGTCCCAGTTCCCTCCACATTCAGGTTCATGTTCACATCATAGCTCTGCCTGTTGTGAGAGGAATAGGAGCAGGCCATATATCCCACCATAGGCCATAGGTGAACTGAGAGCATTGTTACAAACTTTTTAAAGCTACAATACAAGATAACAGAACTTCCACAGCAGCTTTCAAGCTTAAGGTAGCAGACCTACTCTAGAATAATTTCTTGGGAAAAAAAAAGTTTCCATGAAAATTGGATATAATCATACTTAAACTTGTGCACATTGCCATAAAAAGCTGGAAATATAAAAATAATGATTAATTAGCTTAATTTGTTATCAATGTGCAATGGCAACCACATTTGTCATGATTTTCTGATTACAGCTTTTTTTTAGCTGACAGATGCTGCTCTGAACAGCATAACTTTTCATGTGATGCACTCATATCCTTCATTTTTGGCTGAGAGCAACTTTGAATGTTCCTCCATGGAATTATGGTAGCTTTTTTCACTTGCCCAATCCTTTAGCACTTTTTAGTACCATGTGTAATTGGGTCACAAAAATTGCTAAAAAAAAAATAGAAAAAAATGTCATTTTTGAAGAAATTCACTGATTTCTTAAAAAAACTGTTTCCCTCAGGACATTTGTAAGGATTGGAACTACAACACTTGTCAATTAGATCAAATATATGCAAATCATGTTTTAATATTGCATAAACAAATTCTGTGAAGAATCTTCCAGGTATCTGAGAGTTAATAAAAAATCATTTTCCCAAAAGATTAAAAAGAGTGAGCCCATCCCAAATGGATAGGATATTTAACTCTTTATTTGATGCTAATTACAAGTTCTCACCCTGCCAATCAACAGTGACGTTTTAGTTCTGCAGCAGCTCACCTTTCATTAGCAGTGAGTGTGACCTTGCCAGTGAGGAGCTGGCCAACTTTAACAAAGATGGGGGTCTCGAGAAGGCAGCGCACTTGATACCAGTGTGTCAAGGGCTCTGTGGGTGCTGTGGACAGCCAGACCGGCTGGCTGCTCCCCAAGAACACCACTTCAAACCAAAATGCCAGTCCATGCACTGTTCCTGATTGCAGGAGGTGGAATTCCAATGGGATTTCTAGCAAGGAAAGACAAAAAATAATCAATAAAGGGAATATTGAGCCTTTGAGTGCAAAACCAACAGTATGAGACATTTCTTTCTTCACGTTGAGAGCTTTCTCTGAACTGCCATGAAAACCTTAACTTTCTTTCCCATAAGGGGTTCAAAAGGATCTCCTGCCAATCAAAGATTAATCCATGATCCATGGTTACGTAACCTGGATGTGAATACTTCTTAAAGTCTGTATTGTGGGTGAGGTTGAGTGATGAGTGTGCTGATTATTCATGACCAAATGGGTCACGGTTACTTACAAGTTTAAACGAAATGCTCGCAAAATCAAGTCCTGAGTTTTGATGAATTCAGGTAATATTTATCTCTCTTCCAGTAACAAAAGGTTATGTGCAAATTCTCCACAATTTACTCATGACAAGGAGGCACCTTGCTAATAAAATTTTGATAAGAACCCAAGCAGAGGTCTGAAACATGTGGAACCTCACTCCTTCATATTACGGACTCATGGATTCATGACAAACACCATTGTTTCACGTCACCACACAGAGAAATGCCCATTGAGAAGAGTTCAAGTGAGCATGAGGCCAATCCCCAGACATTTTCTGGAATCATTCTGTCCTATTTAAATATTCTTGAAAAGTCACCATTCTGTACTGTCTGCAAGGGAAAATCCTGGCAGTTAGCTCATGTTCTCAGCAAAACTTAAGCACTGTTGTAAACCAGTTCCACAAGCCCAAAATACTTTCATCAGGTAACCACTAGAACTAACCAGAGGAGAAAGGAAAGTTTCTCTATTTTTAGGAGTGCCCAGGGCATGTCAACCTTGACCCACATGTTCAGCAGTACCATTCCCACAAATGTCAACAAAAGCTCCACATGAAGACTAACAAACATATGGGTTCCTGCTTTGTTCCCGCTGACAGGTACCAGAAAGAGAAGGTTTCAATTCTCTGACTGAAGTTTAGAACGGACTCATGATTTCATCTTCCCTGATGAAAATGTACTCCAGCAGATGAGAGGAATCAAAAACTGGAGCTCCTATCAGGGTTTCTCATCCAAGAAAGAAGAGCTTCTCTTGAAGCAGTACCAATCCCAAAAATGTAGACCAAAGCTCCACAGAAAGACAAAAAAATATATTGATAATTGCATAAGGAGCCCAATATCTTTCTCGACTAAGGTAGGCATGATAGGAAAAACCCATAACTCACCTATCACATGGAGATCTGTTTCATTGGCTGTCTGGAAGTCGATTGTATACCTAACAGATTTGGACATACATATACGGATGTCAAACGTGTCCACAATTGGTTGTCGGAAATACTCGTTCATTGCCGCTTGTCGTAGGCTACAGAGATCTACTCCGTGAAAATTCTGCTGATACCTGAAATTAAAAAGCACAATAGAAAATGTAGACAGCTTGGCTACCATTGGAATGAAATTCCAAGACTATCATAGCCCCACAATACTTGGGTCACTAAGTATGAATTTCAATGTAAAATAATATTTTAGCCCATAATAACAAAATACACTAAAGAATTGAAACTAGCAAAATGGGATATTTGATATGGGAGCTCCACTAAATTCACTGGAATTGGGTGGCATATTTTCCTTTCTGATGTGTCTATTCATCTTGGAATATTTTTAATTAGGTTCTACCATTGGCCAAATTAAATTAGTGCCAAAGGCTTATCATTTATTAATATCTAGACTTGGAACAATCTAGGAAAAAAAGTCAAACTCATCCTCTGTAATTAACTGATGGAAGATGGAAATGATTCAATACACAATAGATGATTAATCTATAATCCAGATCGCACATTTGCCAGATTAGCTGCCAATAGGCCATGGTATGTGCATGTGATTAGTTTCATGGATGCATAAATGAAGATCAACCTTAACTAATTGCTTAATTGCAGACACCTGCAACATGCTTTTCTTCCTCTTTCTTTCATATTATGCAACCTGAAAGTCTAGGAGTCCACATGCCTAGAGAAAAATTGAAGATACTTACCAGAAGTTGGCCTTGTTGAACTGTTCCATGTAGATGGCATCATCAGTGAAAGGAGCCACATGCAAATCACCTCTGGTTGGAAACATTTTTCCTATGGATTCAGGAATTGGATGGTTCATCTCATTTCCCATAAAAGGATCCAGCGAATTGAAAAAGGAATCCAAGCACTTTCATCATACCTCCTCTCTTTAGCCACTTTTTGGCATGCAGATATGTCTCAAGCATTCTTTCATTGTATAGCATGTAGCCCATTGGTTCTGAAATGATCACATCAACTTCTTCTGGCAGGTCAATCTCCTCAATCTTCCCTGCTATCACAATGATTTTGTCTCCTAGCTTGTTTGCCTTCACCAACTCCTGCAATGGGAATCAGGGTAAATTCAATCATACAAAACAAACAAAACATACTTAGACTTGTAGCTCATATGTATGGAGCATAACCCAAAATGACGTGTCTTCAATTTCCTTTCTCAAGAAGTACTCATTGAACATAAATGAAATCATACATGGACATGCAGTAGACTTCGGAGAACATGAAGGTAATTTTCCATGTATATGCTGTTCATATTAGTTCACTTTAGCAAGTGTTTCCCAGGAGCTATGATACCCTAATGGAAAACAGATGCCCCCTCATTCTATAGCCACCAGCAATTCATTTCTCACAATATAAGGAGGCATAACTTTTGGGGCATTCTCCAAGTACTAGAGTGAATGCTGAAACTCAGCAGAAACTATTCAGTATATTACTTCCTCTGCCACATATACCTCAGCAAGAGACACAAATGGCATAAGAATAGTACATTTGCTCACAAAGTATTTCTCTAACTTCCAAACCTGGTTTTAAAAATGTTTTTCGCAGTTTGGTCATATATATTGAGGTAACCTAATCATAAGCCAAAGTTTTGTTCCCACTGACAGGTACCAGTAAGAGAAGGTTACAATTCTCTGACTGGAGTTTAGAACGGATTCATGATTTTGTCTTCCCTGATAAAAAAATTACTCCAGCAGATGAGAGGAATCAAGAACTGGAGCTCCTATCAGGGTTTCTCATCAAAGCAGGGAATATGATATAGGTTTAGTTCTACTACTCTCTAAAGAAGCAGTTTTACATCACATTACCTGAGCATGCTTTGCCATAGAGCTGGCTTCTACAGCATAGACTCTGTGGGCACCGGCTTGAATGGCGAAAAATGACAGGATTCCTGAACCTGCACCGACATCTAGCACCACCTTGCCCTTGAAGTCGGCTGCATTGCTGAGCATTGCCTTCTGATACGTAGATGTCCTCACGTAATCTTGCATCATGTTTTGTTGTTGTGAGAGGTACCCATAGAACTATATCAGATGATGCCAAGAATGTCATCAGTAGCTGACTAATTAGACTATAGCGATGCAGATGGAAAGAGTAGGCATAAAGTTTGCTCACTTGGAAATATTGTGATGCTGAGGATTCGTCTGTTCTGGTGGAAAACACTGACCTCACCTGCCCATTCCTCACTTCTTGCAAACGGCTCCATGCTGTTTTTTGGTCTAAAAAATTTTCAATAAAAAAAAAAGAGGTAAGTGTATGCCAATCACAGAGAATGCTAATATAAAACAAGGGTTTGATTAATGGGAGATCATTATCCAGGTGAGAATTCTTTCTCTATACAGTAGTTTTTTTAACCACCTCAACAAAGCACAAAAAAGACCTTGATTCTCTATGAAAAATTTTTTGAATGTAATGGTGCTTTGGCCTTTGGAAAGGTAAAGAGTAGGCAGAGGATAGAAATAGGAAGGCGCAGACAGTTCTCAACATCTGTTCTCTCCTGGCACATCACAGAAATGACAACAAAAACAAACTCAACCTGTACCTTCCATGGACAAGAGGTGGCCAAAATAGAAACAGGATGGGGCAAGGAATGTTTATCATGAACCCACAAAACACAATAATCTCTGCAGGAGTTGGCCACTTTACAAGTAGCAGAGTAACAAACCAGTCCTGCTTCTACCAGACCTCCAAGAAGTCTTGTTCCCGCTGACAGGTACCAGAAAGAGGTTTCAATTCTCGGACTGGAGTTTAGAACGGAATCATGACATCATCTTCCCTGATGAAAATACACTCCAGCAGATGGGAGGAATCATGAACTGGAGCTCCTATCAGGGTTTCTCATCTGAGTAGCCAGGAGCACTTTGTTTTCTCCTTTCGTTTCTCGTTCCTTTTCCTTTTCTCACCAGGCATAAGTTTCACGTGTTTATTTACCAAACAGACACATGTCACCTTGCTTTTAATTATTTTGCTCAAGTGTCATGTTAATTATAGACTACAACACAACCTAGGAAAGAATTTGATTTCAAATACAGAATGGCTTCTTTAAGCAACTCTAGTCTTCATGCTTCCTTACCTGTATTGCTGCAGAACTTGAGAAGAAGAGTTTCAGCAGCTGAACTAAAAAGGATCCCACATGCTCCAACTGTGACCACCTCTGATGACTTGCTCACAAGAATTTCCTGAAGCTGCTCAGCTGCAAAAAATTAATAAAATGTAGAACTTCCACCTAGGGTCATTCATATGCGTCTAACATCAAACGTGACAGATGCACACAGGCTGAAATCAGTATAGTACATCTGAGCAGTGCTAAAAATATGAAAACAAATTTTCAAACTGCACATGAATTGTGCATTCAGAATGGTCACCCTTGGTGACATGAGGCTTAGACACATGGAAGCAGAAACCATGCATCCATACAACAAAAAAGAACTCATACGCTAAGTGGATAACAGTTATGCATATACACCTAATGAAATTGCACTCCCTCAGTATCCAATTTTTCCAGATTAATTCTGGAAACATGCTACATTGATTGGGATTCCTTTTATATATAATAAACACACCCCACCCTAACCTAATGTAACTTAACTTAACAAGCAATACAAAATACCTAGGGGGTATGCACTAAACCGTGACCTGCTAAGGGTACATTAGACATCATTACTAGCCATTTATAGATTTTAAACTTCTGCAAAACAGTCTTATTTTAAAATATCACCTCATGCCAATCTGCTCAGCTACTTCTGAGTATTTGAGCAGGAACAATTTTTGCTAAGGAGGAGATATTGCAAAATGCTCACAACTCAGCATAAAACATTCCCAGGGGAAATGTTCCATCTTCTAACTTCTGAAAAATGTCTACATATGACTCAAAGGCCACTAGTGAACCACACATAATTCTAAAAGTCCAGAAATTGTGCATTCAGAAAATTTCATGCAATTTTGAGCAAAACTCACATATCTCTATTTTAATTCTAACAGTCAATGTATACAGCAAAAAAAGGCAAGTGACAAGAGCAAGAACCACACCTGATGTTACTATTGAACAGAAGCATTTATTACACATGAAGTTCAAGCACAGATGAACAAGGATGAGTGTTTAGCTTACTTGATATGCTTATCATTTGTACCATAATAGATTCTCTTGTCTTCTATTGTCATATTCGAAAATGACTCATTTCTTCTACGATGCCCTAAGCCCGAAATGAATACATGCCAGACTGGGAGAAGTCCCTGAAGTGATCTTGGGATAATCTGTGTGAATAGATAGAGGCAAGCCCTCCCGAAATCTGTTTCGAGAACATCACTTTCAGAGACTTAAGACTTATATTGAGTTCACCGTGTGTCGACACAGGCCTAGATAACAAAAGAATACTTTACAGCCCTCAGGTATACTCTTGTACTGGTTGGCATAAACGACAAATGGAGAAAAAGGACTAGAGAATGACTAAAGTCGGCGTAGCCTACCTTGTGACCGCAGTATCTTTACGCTCAACCCATCGGGATCGTAATCCAGACAGACGTTCACAGGTTCGTTCCATTTCTTTTTTGAATATCCATCGTCAAAGATTTTGAAGGCATGCACACCCCTGAACACTGTCGCCATTTTTCCGGCACAGCATCCCCATGACAGACCTCAGTGACGTCAATGTGACGCGTCCTAAAATAATTGCACCCCTTGGCATGAAAAAGACCATTTCCATAAAAGCAAACTGCTACACCAAAGGTGGACTTTAAAGACGTACTTTTTCTATTAATCCAACCCATTGAGAGAGGGGATAGCATTTCAAAACGAGAAGGATCATCGTGAACATTCTTGAACCAGCTAGCATCACTGACTCGACATGGCTCCCACCGTATCAGCACGTGCTGGCAATTCGAGGGAGCAAAGGCCCAATTGACATCCTGGCCCATGTTAATTCTCGTTCAAAACTGCGGATCTGAGTCATGTGATATGCACATCATTGCTCTTTCAGCATGAGCACGGAGGAGATTGAAAAGTGAGTTTTTTTTTAGCATTTGAAGACTTTTCATTTCTGTTGATGTACCAACAGATGCATTTAATTATTGAATTTCCGATTATGCTCTTTACGAATTTGGGTATGAGTAGAATCAGTATCATGGATGTTGAGCCAATAAGCATAGCTTCCAAGTTAGCAGCAACACAAAAATCTGTTTCAAAATAAAACATGGTCGTCCATCTTTTGAAAACTTGAGTGAATATGTAATTGATCATCCAAGATCGAAAGACCAACAAATTTTGATCAACTCCATTCTCCTACAAAATTTTCTTTGTGAGAAGGCTATGCTGTGAAACCTACCTTTTTGTTAGAATCGAAAGAAAATGGGGTTTGTTGGTCGAGATCTTTTTTTCTAGCTGTACTGACAGTGATAAACTGAGGAAACTCTGTTCCCACTAAGAAAACCTTTGCAATTGATGTGTCACAATATCAATTGAAATTTGTTAATCACAGGGAAGCCATTCGAGAACTGGAGAGAGAAGCCAAGCAAGGAGCAGTCAGGGCATCTGTGTCTGGAGCATTGGGGTGGCAGAGGCCAAAATTGTGCAAACTCAACAAAGTTTTCCTGAATAACATGATTCTTTCCTCAGCCAGAGATAGGAAGCGAAATCCACAAGTGAAAAGTAACTCAAGAAACCCTCTGCAAAATAATGCCTCAAGGGTAAAGGAGCGAAAAAAAGAAAGAACTCATAAGAAGCCTGGGGGAACTCAGAAGCAGCCCATTGAAGAAGGAAATGTTGAAAGCCCACCAAGGAAAACCTTCAAAGAGTCAAGGGATGAGAGAAATGTCACTATGGAGCAAAGATGACATGAATGTAAGACAACTTTGTGTGGTGATCAAGGAGGATTCCAACTGGGCTGGGAAAGTGATGTTTTCCTTTTAATTTATTGCTTTGTGATTGAGAAGAGTTGCTTTCCATATGAGTCTCACTTTTTTATTGACTTGTCTCTGGAGTCATCCTTGGAATATTTCAACATAAGTATATCAGATCCAGATTGATTGGATGATAATCTGAAGTTGGTACCATGAAGTTGTCCATCTTCAAAGTGTTACCCGATGACATTGTGAGTTGCTAATAAAAACAAGTTTGCATAGACATTTTTATTTCAGGAAACTAGGCAACAGAAGGGGGTCAATAAGCTGTTAAGCATTTAAGAATTGATTAAGTTTCACATACATTTTTGGAAATAAATAAATGTTGAGCATCCATGTGTTCCTACTAACAGAATGGTATGCAATGAAAGAGACTTCGGACATGGGATATGATTGATGAAATCAGTCACAAAGCTCTGTAATCTTGTTAATGAATTCTATGGCCTATTGTCATCCTCTGAGAATGGATAACTTTTCTAAGAAAGCTACTAAATCCAATTGTAAAGATTGGGTATAGTATATGATATGGATTCATTGGGCAGCGTACAGGCTCCACACACAAATGAATTTTTCTTGCTCTCCTCCATCCAAATAAGTTGCAGTTCCACAATAATGAATGGGATACAATTCAATGACTTGGTAATAATGCCCAGGAAGGCAGCATTGAAGCAATTTCTGTTGGTTCAAGAATCAAGGCTCATGAGATTATACAAAATTGAGTAATTTGATGTAACCCATCATTGAAGTTCCAAAAAGATGGATAGATCAGATGCATCTTTCCTACATCAAGGTATCTGGTCCAGCACAACTGGCATTCTCTCTTTGCAAGCAGTCACCAAATCCAACTTTTGTTTTTTACTAGTGATATACACATACAATTCCACTGGTATTGTGCAGAATTGAAAGTGACATAATTATGAGCACTTGGTGAATTTCAGCCCTTCTGAATGCACCATCAGTGAACACTAAAGGAGATGATGCTAGCTTACAGGGCTCCAAAGTACCGAGCACCTTGATGTAGCAGGAAGTTTTTAAAATATCTATGGCCATTATTCACGATTAATCTAAACAACAGCACCCCGTGGTGCACAAGTCAGTAGTACGACAACTGAAAATAACTAATGTAGGTGTGAGAAGAGATAATCACAGTCTTTTACAGACTGTGATTATCTCTTCCCAATAAAACCCAATAGACCAATAAAAGTTCAACTGACATCTCCCTGAATCTTTCTGTATATATTTCTATCTGAGTGCACATCCTCATAGTTCTAACCCCTTCCAAGGATATCTATGACCAGTTCAGCTTATTTTCTCATATCCAGGCAATGATAACTGTCTTGCCTGATTAGGGTGAACCAGCCTGAAAGGGAAGATTGCTAATAGTATCAAGAAAAACCCTTGTTATGGAGCTTGGAAATCATTGCTCCACATGGAGGAACCATGAAGAGGAGAAATAGCAGCATGTTTCAGTGAACAAAATGATGAGAGAACAGTAATGAAAATGTGTGAAAGAACAGATGCCTTTCATATGAAAATATACATACAAAAATATGTGATAATTATCACTGCAAATGGTAATTAAAACAATCATCACATATAACTGGTAAACTGGAGATTCAGTGGGTGGTACCTTGGAAACCAAGAACCTCTCTGTGCATGGAGTAATGAAATTACTCTTAGGTATGCAACATATATTAAATATGAACAATAGTATTAGGAAGATCCAGGCTTGTCTAGTGACAATTCCTGGCAGAGATTTGGAACAGTACTGTGAACATTGATCACATGCCTCTGCAGATGGTGTTTTAGTTTGAACTTCTTCTCACAGATGGGACAAGTGAATGGACGACAATCTGTGTGAACCCGAGAATGGGACACAGCTGCAAACTTATTCCCACAAACATATTCACACCAGATGCACTTATAGAAAGTCTTGTCTCCTTCCATGAATGGGAGAATTCCAGCCTCTTCAATGCCCTATGAAACAAATGGGGAAAAATAAAGCCAATTTGTTAACTAGGTATCTTCAAAAATTAAAAGCCTTCCTGTAAATTGATCAAGAATGTTGGAAAAGGCATTAAAAATCACATACAGGGCTGAAGCAAAAAAAGAACCCTACAACTGTTCAAGACATTCAAAAATTTTTTTTTTTTAATTGATACTGGATAATTGAATCAAGTGGAGCATTCACAAGAATATTTTAATTTCTTACATAAGTACTGACTTCAATACCCCATACCTTTGAAAGGTGATTTTATATTTGAAGATCTCAAGAAGCCTTATTCAAACTTTCTAATATCAACATGAAGCCACTTCATGCAACAATATATTTTCAACTTACTTCAGTTGAAGAATTTAGTGCTTCCATGGACCACTTCATTCTATTAGAATCACAAGGTGCCATATCCTGGAAATAGATAAGAGGACATTCACATTTTGCCCCACACGCAGCTCTATAAAAAAAATTAAAATTAAAAAAAAAAACAGAAGACATTCAGAGACCTCTGATGACAAACTGTCCAAAGCTGTCCTGCAGATACTATTAACAGAATGACAAGAAAAGATTTTGTCCCATCTACCTTTGTATATACAGTATTGGCCCCTCCCTTTAATTTTCAATGCCACAGCAGTGCACTAATTGAAATTGGCTCATTAACCCTTCAAGTGCTGAGTTTTGATCTGACCTCCTAATTGATGATCATAGTGTACATGAAAAATGCTCCAAGGGTTAACATGCTGTTGCACCCACCTCCATTATCAGAATCTTCTTGATCAGAAACATCTATGCTCAAATGACTGTGCTAAAGCATGTGACATATTGGCTACTATCACCTAAATAATGCTAAAAATAGTCCAGATTATATCTTTTTTTTTCCCATTAAAATGAGTCAAGGGCAAATAATAAAAAAGGCGATGGTTTCTTACCATATCAAACTAACAATTACAATAGAACATTTGTAGCTGTTGCTAAGAGATCCACCATACTGTGATTTCTGCCCAGTCTACCAGTGTCAAAAGGTCTGGTTTTGCCAGTAAGTCTGTGAGTCTTGAAAGTCATTCTTTCAGTGTCAATGTAGCAAGTTCCATCACAACAGTATGATGGACTGAAGGCATTGAGACTTGAGATTATATGACTAGCATATGAGCACCTATTTTCCATAGATCCTGGACTAACAACTGGAAATCAGGTGAATTTAAATCCAAGCTTCATCTTCAACTTAGCTAAATCTAATGCAAGCTCCGAATGGCACTTACAGATTGCATATTTTCTTCAGAGAAGTTTGTGTCCTGAGCAGGCTCCTCAATGAAAAATTCTGGCTCAGGATAAGCTGTCTCATCCTTGGGGAGATCCTGCAAGAGGATAGCATATGTAATCCATATTGGGCAAGGGGCAATAAAAGATGGAGCAAATTGCTAAGGTAGTATTCACACTGGGAACAATGTTTGAGAACCAGAGATGCTATCACTTTGGGTTTGAGTAAAAAGCCCACAGTGAAGATCCTAGCTGATTGCCTGTGTGACAGAGTCAGACCTGAATCACAGAATAGAATCAATGATACCAGAATGACCATGATAACCTTAAACTACCCAAAAACTTTTCATGCATGCAATAATCATGTTTTCCCGTCACCCCCTGCAAACATAGCGCAAATTCATTTATACTTACAGATGTTCCAGCTTCTTTCTGTTCTCTTTGCAGGTGCCTCCTCCTCTGTTCTTCTGACAGCTCTGGCAAAACTTCCTGCATGGATTATAGGATCAAATTGAGCCAATATGTAAGAAAATGACATAGGGGAGCGGCACCAGTTTGCGAACAGGGATCCAGTTAGCGAATGAGGGTCATGAAATGTGATTTGGTCTTTTGTATCTTGAGTTACACGATCTAGCTTTTGGTATCTGCAGAAAATGGATTGATTAATTAATGCTTGGGATGGAGAGTGAAACTAGAGTAACATAAGGCCAAATCGCATTTCACAACCCTCGTTCGCTAACTGGCTCCCTGTTCGCGAACTGGTGCCGTTCCCCTACTTCTAGTAATATATACTAAACCCTCTCAGAGTATTCAACTGCCAGGCAGACCTACTTTGAGGAATGAAGATATTTTGACAACAGTAGACTTTTTGATATTCCACGAAGATGGTTTGGTTTAAATGAGGGAAACAATTTTCATGAAGACTAGTATGCCAAGGAAAGACAGTTAACTAACCAATCATCAGTCCTGGGTCAGGTATAAAATCTGTGTACCAGTACCCCTTCCAACTGAGATAGGCATCACTGTTAAATGAATTGCATTTGGTCAGTTATCCCTAGATAGTGGGCTCAAATACTGTCTCTGCCATACTTTCTTTTTTTGCGCAGAGGTAGGCATGTTAAGGTTCATGATATTTACACAAAATGTAAGGTGCTGAACTGGCAGAGCTGCACAAACAAGGAAAACAAAGCTACCATTGAAGGAAACCATGGCTGAAGGGACAGAAAACATGAGTAGGCATTCTACTTACTACAGTCATAAAATAAAATAAAATAATGGGCAGTATAGCATGAGAAGAAATTTCACCATCCACCTTTTCTGCACCTTATTACTTACAAGCACTTTCAATTAACAGCATGACTTTTGAATGTGGCCAAATACTAGAAAATATGAAACATAGAGTTATGACTTTCTAACACTTTCTACAAACCAAGCAAAGATTCCCCCAATATTAAAAGCATCACTCACCTCAATAGGTGTACCAGAACTATCTGAAAGAGATAATTCCTGATTTGTAATGAAACTGAAATCATCTTGCATCACATGATCTTCTTGACCTTGAACGCTTGATATAGCAGCAGTCCGAACTGCTGATGAAGCAGAAATATCAAATTTGGGTCTGCTCATCTTTGATCTCTTTGCCCCAGGCAGCCCACACTTAGTCTTTTCCAGGGAACCAAGCAGCCCCTTCACCTCCAAACTCTCAGCCAAGGCCAAAAAGTCCATAAGGCTCTCCTGGGGCAAAATCACTTCACCAGTGTAGATGTAATCAATGATCCATTCCAGAAGATTGAACGGTATGCCATGGAAATGAAACACTGTTGTTGGGGATGAGAACTGATTGTTCAGCTGAAACATTCTCTCGAAGTACTTGCTTCCGGCACACAAAACCAGCTTATGGACTTTTATGTTTTTCAGACCGGAGGATAGCACTGTGTCAACATGAATGCCATCATTCCGCAGAGAGCTGAATGCTTGGCATGTCTCAGAATTGTGGGAATTCCACTTGAGATTGTAATCACCAGGATTCATGGTGATGCCTTCTTATTAGGCCAGTAGTAGGCCAACCTGGATATTGGAAACAACAAACCATTGATCTAAAGAGAACTTTGAATCTTGTGAATGTTTTAGCCAACAGTGATCAGAGAGAGGCAGACAGGCTAGGTTTCAAATATGCATAAAACAGTACTAGACATAGTTTGTGCACTCTGGCTAAGGCCATTCTGAGGCTAAGGAGTGGAAAATTACTCCATATTTTCCACAGCAGCAATTGTATCAACATACATTCAATATGTCTACATCATACCAGTAACCACCATTAGTTTTAGCAGCCAATTTTAAAATGTCTCAATAATCAATCATATATTTGCTAAGGTATCATCTAATTACAGATCACCTGTAGTTACTTCGACATAGTTATGATATCTGCCAGTAACATGTTTGTATGTATATTTCCTTGGAAAACAGACAAATAGAATGGCATGGCTGACTCCACTGTTTGATCTAGGTCACACCAAGAGAACTGAATTATGCAAACATAACAGGGACAAACCTAGAAGGGAAAGAGTCCAGAAAATTCGAATTCACCCCCTTCACATGACAGAGAGTAGACCTCTTATTTTTTTCACCTCCCAAAAGTCCTATGCAATAGAAAAGCTGAAGAATGTATTTGTGATTATGCAACTCTGATTACTTTTCTCATAAACATATTTTATCTTCCCCCCATCCCCCTTGGAACACAGATAAAATGTTGCTCACTCCCTCTGAATTAATACTCCTTAATTATCATGTTTACCAACTCCTCTGACAAAAGGTAACCTGATTTCTTCATGAAGAGAGACTGAGATTCACATTTGGTAAACTATACAACCCTTCATGACTCCCTCTTGTAGTGCAGTCATTTCAGAAACCTACTCTCCTCATTACTCCATTGTACAATCAGCTTTATCATGGAATTCTGTGAATTGCGCAATCAAGAACTCCCCAACAATTGCTGGTTTGCTGCCCTGTCCATCCGCCCTAACCTCCAAGGGGTCTGGGTCGGTCAAGCCAAAGACCTGCTATTCCCACATCCATCAGAGATGATGGGGTAAAAGCAGATAGTTCAGGCCTTAACCTGAGCCTATCTCATCTTCCCCAGTACCACAATTACCTATCATAAATCTAACTTGCACCTAATCCTTCCCACTGTGAACTCAACTCCGACCCCCTACTATGATGGCACCCCCGACAACACACAGCACAACCTCTAGGCCCAACTAGGCTCGAAGACGCGCCCAACAATCCCCCCAGCCCCAGACAGCGTGTGACACTTGTGGACACCGCGGCGCCACATTGACCCCTTACGTCACCGGTTACGTCACATCCGCTAAACCAATCAGAATCCTCGGACAGCTGCACCCATACAGAACCCGAGAAACCAGTTCCTGCCCGGCCAAGAAAACGAGTTATCTAGGCTCTGAGCCTAAAATCCCATTCGGGTTGCATCACAGTCGGTGGAGTCCAGGCCTGGCAGCCAACGTCGGCCTCCTGTCTTGTGTGGCACGGTGATTCCATCCGTGTTGGCCTTTTTCCCGTCCAACAACCCTTTCATCGATGGAATGACGTTTTCTCAGTCTTGCCTTCTTCCGTCGAGACTTCCTGGTTCGATTTTTATTTCTTTGCCCAGCGGCTCTCATTAAGATATGACCTGATTAATCATGTTCTTCATTTTTTTCTGTGTTACACTAAACTGGTGTCGACCTGATCGAATGCTATTCACTTCCCATAATTTCAGATGCTGTAGCTTTTTGTTTTTCCAAATGATTAAAAATTTTTTTTTAGGTTTGAAGTGAAATTAACAACAAAAAAAAACTTCGCGTTTGCATGAATCTCCTCAAAACAGTCATGCCCGATTCATTCCTGATAAATCTTTCCAAAAAATACAATTTTTTTTTAGAGTTCTTCTGAATTCGACCATGTCCAACGTCCGTCGCGAGTCGATGGCTTTGTTTTCCACCCTGGCATCCCCCCTTCGAGGTTTCGCCCCACTCGCCGCGCAATCGCGAGACCATCGCGACGATTCGCGACGTTCGACCCGCGTGGAATGCGACAGTTTCGCTCGGAAATTGATGCATGCCAAGGTCAGGGTCACCGAAGCACATGGTCCCCCCCGAAGCCTGTTAGGGAGGATCCGATCTCCCAGGTGTCGCCTCGCGCGGCCAGGGAAAAGATTCTCTCCCAGGTGTCGCCCCGAGCGCCCGCCCTCCAGTCACCCGCGGGACCCGCCAGTGCGACCCTGACATTCGGCCGAGGAGCCGGTTGCTGCTTGTGTTTCCTTCCTTCTCCCTTGCGGATTATCGAATGGGAAAATGTCATGTTTTGCGTGGAGTGTCCTTCGAGCGGGAAAACATCTCCGGCATTCTCCATGGTACGTATTTCCGTTCTCGTTCTTCGCGGTTTATATTTATAATCATTGATGTTGTGCGTGGTTCTATTTCATTCAGACGCGATTTGCAGGTGGGAACTGGAATGAATCGCACATCGTTTCCACGTTGGTTTACTGAGTAAAAAGTGAACACTCGGTCTTTTCTTAATTTTAAATGCGTGGTTTATTCCTTTAAATATTATTTCAAATAATAGTGAGTTTTTATATGTAATTTTTATTGTTTACCGTCTTGGAATCCCCATCACAGCGGTTTGCCGACTCCCAGAGGCTTTCACGTCCTATCGTTAAATGCGCTGCACCTCGTTTGACGACATTCGACACGACAGACGAGAACGAATCCAATCACCGAGGGATAATGTCTACGACACTCGCGCCGCAACTGCACGCTGCCCACAGTCTTGCAATCCGTCAGCACCTTGTGGCCATTTCGATCCACGTGAAACCGAGTGATGGCAAAGTCGTGATGCCGACAGTACCAGTACGTAATTGGGTCCTTATAGTATCTCCTGCCACCGAGAGACGGCAGGAGAGGTACTACAAGGACATTCGTAGACTCGTCTTGACACGAAAACACGTTTATTCTTTTTCGAGCTGTACCACAGTTGCGCAATTTTCTTTTAATGAGGACAATTAGCATCCTTTTTGCAAGGTTGATCATCTCAATGTTATGTAACAGGTTTAGGAGTCATCCAGTGAATTCAAAATGGGAGCGCATCTGGAAACTCGCACCAAAGAAGAGAAGCGAGTCAGATTTTTTTACCATTTTCTTTTGCGTCTGTCAGTTTGAAGCGTCGGCTGCCGCGAACGGGGATTTTCTGAACCAGTTCGTACGCACGGGACCCGTGAATTACGCTTATCTCCGCGTACGTTATTCTTCCCACGATGTATATCGGCTGGCTTAACTTCCTCTGTGATGTAAAAAATATTTTCTTTTGTGCAAGTTTCCAGATGCCCCTCATTTTGAATTCACTGGGTGACCCCTAGCACCCGTTTGAAAAGTAAATGCGAGCATTCGGAGAGGTGCCAACTGAACCAAAGCAACAAGTGAAGGAGTTCCTTCGTCCCGTGCACAATGCGATGTTCTTAATTGCGAATGGATCGATTGTGGATGTCGTACGAGTCCATGCTGCAACCTGCGGCCATTAGAGGCGAATGGTTCCCAGTTGGGAGAGGGAGTGATCGCGAGCGGCAGCAGGACTGCCACGCTCAACGCGTTGCCCCGATGTAACGGCGAGCAGAATGAACGTCCAGCAGACTTGGTCGCGCGTCGATTGCATTTTTCTTTGAATCTGCGAGTTTCTGTCTGGGTGCACTTGTCACCGGCAATCCCCATGGGGAGACTTCGTGCGGCAGTCGTCTGCTGCGGAATGGCTGAAGTGCCATCCCGCTGGTGAGAAGGGCCTCATAGCACTTAGAAAATCCCGCTTCTGGCGCTGCACGAAAATACTTAAGCTGATATAGGTTGGCATCACGTATCACCTTCCCGATCTCAGATGGAGAAACCAGAAAGGTGATAGGGGTGAGGGGAATGTCACTCTTTCCACGAAACGGGAAACTCCTTCCGGTTCGGGGACCGGTTCCCTCCTGGGGCAGCCCCAGATTTTCCTTAATTGCAGTTACAAGAGTTCAACGAAGTTAGGTCTCCTGCAAGTGTGCATTGTCGGTGACAAGTGAAACCCGTGCATCCTGACAACGGGATAGAAGTTCGTATATACCGAATTCGGTTAAGTCCGGAGATGTCTGAGGTCCATCTCGGCCCGATCGGAAGGAAAAAAAGGGGGAATCGCGGGCTCTTCATCGCACGGGCGAGGTCAGCTGGACGTTCACCCTTCTCGGCGTTACGTCGGCGCTCCGCGTTGAACGCGGGAATGGAGGCTCATGCCTCATCGGGAATTTGTGTTCGCATAACGAAGTTGAGATTCATATGCAGTGTTCTCAGGAATTGACAGTTTGCACGAGACGAAGGAATGCCATAACATATCGGTATAACTGTTAGAAGGAAAACACATTTGCATTGTTGAAATTATCATTTTCTCGTTTTTATTTGAACCACCCTCGTACCTTTTTGTTGTCAGGACAGTGAAGAAGTTTTCAAGGACTTTTTCAAGGTTCAAAATCATTCCTTGAATCAACATACTTTTGTAATGGTTATTCACAATACGCAAGATGCAAAAAGTTCTTTGTGAAAGAGGACGGGAAAGCATGCAAATGAAAAAAAAAATCAATGAAAATCGGAGTGCATTTGCCTTTGTAAAATAAATGTTGGAAGTTTTCGAGAAAAAAATAAAGACCCAGGCCCAAGAGTGTCAACGGACTCTTGCTAGAGTAGGTGAGACAGATTTCGACCCTGCTATTCAGCCCCCCCCCCCACGTTACGTAAACAACGCAATAAATCCAAACAGCCGTTTTCAACAAAATTAACCCAATGTCCGGTCTTAAAACGTGAATGGATAGTGTGTGCATTTTCCTCTC